TTGGGGTATGGGTAGGGATTTGATAGTATGGGTAATGTAGTAACCACATGGTTTTTTCATGTGAAACCTTCATAAGAGTGTATATCAATAATACCTTAAATAAATAAACAAACAAACAAATAAAAATAGGCAGTGAAAACTACCCCTCATCTCAGTCCCCACTTCCAAAGGCAACCATTATTAGGTTTTATGTAGTATTCCAGAGATACTTTGTGCATACTTAAAAAGTGGGTGTGTGTGTACACAAATAATGAACATACTAGACATACTACTATAAACCTTGCTTTTTCTACTTATTTCAAAGACCTTTCCATAACTACATATGAAAAGTTTCCTCATTCTCTTCTACAGCTGATTAATATTTCATTGGATGTTCCATAATTTATTTAACCAGTTTTCTACTGATGGACACTCACATCCTTTCTAATATTTTTACCATCAAAAACAATGCTATAATAACCTTATGCTTCATCACTAAACAGGTATATGAATAAATCTATGGCATAAATTCCAGGAAGGAATGGATCAATGAAGGCCTATACTGTAATTCTGATAGATATTGATAAATTGCCCTCCATAACATTTGTATCAAATTACATTCCCATCAGCAATGCATCAAAGTTTTTGTTTCTAAACACCCTTATCAACATAATGAGATATCAAAATACCCATTTAGATTAAAATACCCATATGATTTTCATTTCCATTACGAGTTAGGTTGAGCATTTTTTGTATGTTCAGAGCCACTTTTTATAGCCTCTTAACAGCTTATGCAAGAAAAAAAATGAAAAGAGATACTGCTTTATATTTTTAAGGTTAAAGGTATATATAAATTATATAAGAACTACTGGTAAAATGACTTGTAATTGGATTCAAAGAGGCTGGAAGTAAGAAAAAGAGAAACAGAGGTATAGAGTGTAGAAGATGCAGTCCTGTTTTAAAGAGAGGGAAAATAATTGCAAACAATTTTTATGTCTCCTAAATTTATTTAGTTAAAATTTAACTACTGTAAAGAAGAAAAAGCCAATTTTTCTATAATATAGCTTTTAATGTCAACCAAATATAGATCAATTCTACAAGTACTCCTAGAAGAGACCAGAGAAACTGGGACAAGCTTTGCAAATTTAGATGGTATGTGGAAAAATGCCTTTTTTATTTTAATGGGTGTATATTTATTTGAACATGTATTAGGAAAAACTGACACAAACCAGTAATATCCATGAGTATTATTTAGGATAAATCCAAATTTTAAATATCAATTTAAAGAAAATAATAAAAATAGAATAATAAAAAATAAAAACAATATTGGAAGGTATTTAATGTTGCAAGAATCATGACTATACCTGAATGGCCAAAGTCTTGGGAACAATGAATGGAGAAGGGAAAATGGAAGCTCAAGAGTAACTCAGTTAAAACTGGTAGCCTCCAATGCAAAGGTGAGGTAGGGGAGTAAAAAAAAACTTTCTTCAAAGGATTTCTTTTATATTAGACAATTTAAAAAATATATGAGTTTTCTATGTTACCAGAGTATGGTTTCAGACTTTTCTGATCATGCTACAGATTTACATTTACTATGAACTAGAAAAAAAAGTCTTTTTTTCTAGAGCCTTTAAATATGAGGTCAGAGTTCTTTAGAACAGACCTCATAGGATTTCCCGTTCACTAAACAGGCCACAAAGAGATAATTAACCTGGCCTTTTAGATTCAAGTACAGAAGAACCAAAAGCAGGTTATGTGGTTATAGACTTAAGAGGCCTAAACAAAAAGAAACTGGCTGAATTTATATTCCAACCAAATCCAGAGACCATGTGATCCGATTTCTCTTCAGCCCTTATGAGTGGGACATGCTCCTAAATGGTCATTCAGATTAAGCATGGGTTGTACTACTGTGGACTGATTTATGACAGTACTAATAGGCTATCTCAACACCATAAAAACACAACTGCTTTCAGATAAAAAACAACCACAGGCGGACAAATTTATACCATTTTGACAAAAAACTTCAACAGAAAACCAAAAAATACAGGACTCTCTGGTATAAACTTCCACTCTTTTGGAAGTTGGAAATCCAGTATGGTAGCTATCAATTAAAATTTTTAATTTTAATTAAATAACCATATATATGTAACATCATCATCACTGCAGGAAGACTTACTGCACTGTTCTAAGTCCTTTATAAGAATCATGAAAGAGTTCACCTGACTGTTTCCAGTCATTACAGTCTCAATGCATTGATAGTTTTCAGGATCAAATACACCAAATCAAGTTCTACTGCTGACTTCAGGATCAAAACAGACTTTGCCATTTACTTCCCCCAAAGCTCCCAACATTAAAAAAAAAAACACCTGCTTTTAAATGATGCAACAAGTATGCCTCAGAGAGTTTCAATATGTAAAGATTAATATTTCTCTCCTCTTGGGGACTGAAGGATCCAAGTGCCCTAAATAAAAGACTATTAAAAACAATTACAGCTCATAAAACAATAAGAACACTATGACCCACTGGAGAACTTAGTTCAGAAGAACATTAAACACTTTTCACTTTATCACCAAAACCTCAGCTAACAAACATGAAGACTTTCAATAGGTATCCTCTGCAGAGAATACCAAAAAAAAAAATAAGTTATGGTTATTCTTCATAATTACTTGAAGGAATAAGATACGCTGACAAATCAAAACTCTTAATTCAATAACAACTGAATGTCCAACTTCATTTCTTATTGCTGTTTTCCCTCTAAGAAAGGATGACAAAAACCTCTTTCAATTTCATTCTTTCTTAGGCCTCTATTGCTTACTCACTGGATCATTTTCCAGAGGAAGTCAGCAGGATCCAACAGAAGAAATTCCTAATTTGAAGCAGATTTTTTACCCCCAAATCTATACAACTCTGAGCCATGCCAAATGAGTGATTTCCACACCACTTGGGAAACCTAGCTAACTCTCTAACTCATGGTTTCTCAGCAATAGCACCACTGACATTTAGGGATATATAATTCTTTGTTGGGAGGGCTGTCCTGTACAGTGCAGGTTTTAGCAGCATCTCTGGTCTCCACCCACTCAGTAATAGCCCTCCCCGGCTTCCCAGATATAGTTCTGAGAACCAAAATGTCCCCTGGGGGAGGCAAAATCACACCTGGTTGAGAACCACTGCTTTCGCCCACAGAACATTCTTGATTATCTCAACCCTAATTCCTCACATTCACTTGATACTCCTCCAAGTCTGTGTTGAGACTTAGTCTCACAATCCAGCAAATATTTACAGAATCTCTATGACACAACATGTAGGGCTCTAAGGAAATAAACATACAAGTTAAATTCAGACCCTGGTTTCTTGGAGGGTGAGTATATAAAGAACTGTGATAAAAGACAGCCAATTATAAAATGTTTCAGATTGATTTTTGTTCCTGTGGTATTCTCATCTCACCAAACTAAAAACACTTTGGGGGCAGAGACCATAACCGCTCTGGATACCAATACTTAATTAATGGCCAATAAAAATAAACTATTGTAAACTTCATCATAACAAGATGACAATTCACATGAACAAAAAACTCCATAGCTAACCTGGAGAAATAAGTTAACCTCTCCAGGCTGTAATTTGTTCTTCTGTAAAATGGGGAGAAAATGATTGTTGACAGGATTAAGTCAGATAATATGAGTAAATCTTTTCCCACATTCTGACACAGAATAAGCATTCAATTATTGTAAGCTATGATTACTATTATTTTATTAGCCACAAATCCTACCTTAAGGGGAAGAGCTTGCTCTGGGCTACAACAACAAACCACTACATGACATAAAGGAAATCAACACTTATCTCAAGAGGAAGAAAGTAACCGTTAAGTATTTCTATCAGTGTTCTGGCAGAAAAAGTGAATGCAGGTACCAACTAATGGGCTGGGGAACAAACTTAGTGACAAACCCACTATCTTGCAATATATTTCTGGACTATTCTTAAGACCTTTCTATTTAAAAATATGTGTGATTTTTGCCATAAGCATACAGGATCTAAAGGGAAAGTAGAAAAAATCTGTAATTTATAAATATTGACACATGCAAGGGACAGATGTTTATAAGACTTTGAGTCTCATTTGCTTAACCTTTTAGAAATTATGCTTAATTTCTATTGCTCTAGTGTTAAATACATGTCATCAAGTTTGAATTTACTGCAAAGCCTAAGAGTTCATAAGTTAAAAAAAAAGAAAAATTGTTATCTGTTTTAAGAGAACATAAAGTCACCAAAAAACGCTGGGTAATTCAAAGGTGTGTGTGTGTGTGTGTGTGTTATGAAAGCAGTATTAGGGGATGAGAGATATATGGGATACAAGTAAAAGACAGGAAAAGTCACCATGCTGGAAGTTGCACATCCAAGAACACCTCCCCACAGCACAGAGTTTAGGTGAGCAAAAACAGACCTTATTCTCATAATAATACATGACACCAGTATAGTTTGTACCATGGGCTTGGCACCAAGTTCCTCATACACAGTGGCTCATGTAATCTGCCCAGCAATCTTATAAGGCAGGTACTATTAGTACCCACATTTTACAGATGATGAAACAGACCAAGGGAAGTTAAATGACTTGCCCAAGTTGACTTAATTAGTAAATGGAAGATTCTGACTCCAAACCAGGCACTGTGGGTGGCACTAACTCTACTGCTATACTTCATGGCCTATTTTAATTTCAGGTTTGGAAAATTAATTTCCATTTGCAACTCAGTGAGACCAGTTCTCTTCCCCTACCTTTCTGTATTTCAAAAGAGCATCCTTTTAGTTGTATGTTGTGTGGTGATCTTAAGGAGGCCAGAAATGTAAAAGTGTGACAGGCCCTCTTTTACCTTTGAACACTTAAGTAATCCACACTGAGGAACCTGAGTGGGTAGAAATGAACAAGAGGAAGGTCCTGGAGAATACGGGAGGTCGCCAAAGTTCCTATTTCTACCCCTATTTCCTGCCTTTGCTCTGGCCACTATAATCATTTAAAAGACCCCAGAACCTACCTATTCCAACTCTGCTTTTCATCTCTCCCACGCTGAGAGATGGAGAGGATGGAGGCGAGGCGCCGAGACCTACGTGCAAGGAGGCTAGAGTCAAGTGGAGTTCTGGCCAAAGGAAGGTAAGGCTGCCCGCCTGGATGGGGGCAGAGGAGTGCGTGGAAGGGGACAGGTGTGGGGATCGGGGCGGGGAGCCAGAAGCTGAGGACAGCGAGGCCAATGCTGGGGTCCGCAGCCAAGGCGTGATCAGCGGGCGGGCAGAAGCTGACGAGGCGCCAGGGGCGAGCAGCCCTGTCACTACCATCTGGGCTGATCTGAGAACGAAAGCGAGGCAGGAACCGAAGCGTTTCAAAACAGGAGTAGAAAACAACCTCGAGTGAAGCCCTGGGTCCGGGTGGTGGCAACGGCGGGGGCGGAGGTCGCGGGGCAGCGGGGCCCGGGCAGCAGCGAAGGCGGGGGCTCCGCCGCGCAGGGGCTGTCCAGGCGGGTCCGCTCCGCCGGGAAACGCGGGCAGAGCGCGGCCGAACCTCGCGCCGAGGTGCGGGGCCCCGAGGCCGGGCTGCACCCACCCGCCGGCGCCCCAGCCTTGCGTACCTGAAGCGGCCGCCTGGCTCCCCTCCACTCCCAGGCCGTCCCCGACGCCGCCCGCCGGCCCTCGGCGGGCTGTGGGGCTCAAGAAGCCGGACCCCTCAGCCACCAGCCCGTCCGACATCTGCAGCCAGCGCCAGGAGCGCCTCGGCCGCCAGCCGCGAGTGGCTCCGGAAACAGCCGAAGGCCCAGCGAGTGCGCCCGCGGTGCGCCGGGAAGAACCGAGCGGAGCCCACGGGCCGGAAGGGGCTGCGCGCCGGCCCCCGAGCGGCCACAGGAGCTCTGGCCAGAGGAGGCTGGCGACGCGGACGCTGGGAGGGTCACTGCGTGCTTGTGAACGCAGGATTTTAAAGTCGGGCTTGAAAGGACAAACAAAACCTCGGGTAAAGTCTGAAAGCCCTGTCCGGAAATCGTGGTATCCATGGAGACGCTATCGGAAATTGGCGTTGCTAGGAGGCCTCGGAGCGTGGGTTAATCTGCGTCATGGCTGAAGTCCCGCAAGGTTATTATTCTGGCCCCGATGAAGATGAAGACCTAGAATCTGAGAGATCTAAACTGCCTAGGTCTCTTAAAATTGCCAAAGACGCCGAACCAGACAACCTGGCAGAGGTACGCACAGAGCAATCTGTAGAGACTGACCAAGATCCACAGCCAGAGACCGAGGAAGAGGACTTAATAGAGGGAGTTCCAGAGAGTGCTAAAAATGTAGACCCACGCCCAAAACCAACCACCACATCTGAGGAAGAGATTCCCAAGGAGCCAGAGATAGACCTTTCTAGCGATCCTGAGCCAGGGATTTCCCAAGAGGTAAAGTCGGAGACATACAGAGAGATGGAAGAAGAACCTTTAGAGGATTTGGAGGTCCCTGTGGATGAAAAATGTGAGGAGCCAGACCTAGAGCCACCAGAAGAGGCCAAACCAGATGTTACAGAGGATGTACTCAAAGGAACGGATCTAGAACTACCAAAGGAAACCGAGTCTGATGTTCCAGGGACCACAATCATTGAGACAAGATTAGAGTTCCTGAAGGAAAACAAACCAGAGGTTACAGAGAAACCACTTGGAGAACAATACACAGAGACAGCTCAAGATCCTCCAGAGCAGTCTAAACCTGAATTTCCAAGTGAGAAACCAAGAAAATCCATTGAAGAGGTAGATCTACAGCCACCAAAGATGACCATACTAGAGATCCCAGAGGAGACTCACAGAAAGTCACCTGAGGAGAAAAGGACAAAGCCATCTGAGGAGGCCAAATCAGAGTCTCCAGAAAAAACAAAGTCTACTGAGAAGGCAGTGCTAGAGCCTCCAGAAGAGATGAAGCTAGATGTTCCAGAGGAAATGCAAAAAAAATCAATTGAAGAGAAAGAGACAGAGCCACCTGTGCAGACTAAACCAGAGTTTCCAGACCAGAAACCAAGTCAGTCTACTGAGGAGACACAAAGAAATTCAACTGAGGAGAAAGTTCCAGAGTCACTAGAAGAGATCAAATCAGAGTTGCCTGAGGAAAAATCAAGAAAACCAACTGAAGAAACAGGTCTAGAGCAATTGGGAGAGACCAAACAAGAAGTTCAAGAGGAGACACAAAGCAAGTCAACTGTGGAGAAGGTTCTAGAGCCACCAGAGTATACTAAGCCAGCAGGTGAAAAGGAAAAGCAGAGAAAATCAACTGAAGAGAAAGGACCAGCACCACCATTGAAGTGCAAATCAGAGACACTGAGAGAGTCAACTGAGGAGGAAGGTCCAGAGACACCAAAACAGACTAAACCAGAGTTTCCAAAGGAAAAAACAAGAAAATTAACTGAGGAAACGGGTCAGGTGCCACCACAGAAGACCAAACCAGAAGTTCAAAAGAAGACACAAACAGAGCCAACTAAGGAAGATCTAGAGTTACCAGACAAAGCCAAACCACCACTTAAAAGAGAGACAGAGGTAGAGTTTGCCAAGGAAGATATGAAAGAACCAGTCCAACTTAAGCATTCTGTAGACAAGGATGAGCTGGAGTACCCTGACTCTAAAACAACAACGTCAGTAGAAAAAACTAAAAAGGCTACAAAAGGCTCTGTGTTAGGGTCTCGCTCAATAAGCAACAGAGACTCAATGACTTCAAATTATGAGTTTGCTAAAAAAAAACAAGAACTGTGTGAGTTTATTGATACCAGTAATGATTTCTATTTCTCAGAGTCTCAGAGGGATTTAAGAGAATCCTTTAGTGAAAAGAAAGTTGTAGATATGTCCCCAAAGTTGGAGAAGAGGGTAGGTAAAGAAACCCAGCCAAAAAAAAGTAGTGAGCTACAATTTGAGTATCTTAAATGGGAGCCAGAGAATGTTGCAGAGTGGATTAGCCAGCTAGGCTTCCCTCAATACAAGGTATACAAAAACAGCATTTTTGAAATCATATACTCCCATCCTGCTACCTCTTATTTCTCTATCCTTACCTGAGTTCTCGCCTTTTCTTCACTAGAGGGAGTACAAAAAAGCCTTGGACTATGCAGACGTGACTTGGATTTTCATTTTGGCCTTTTCACTGATGTATATTTGTAGTTTGGGTGGGGGAGGGTCACATTTGTTTTTCCTTTCCATCAAGGTGATTATACTTCTCAGCAATCATTGAGTAATGAGTAAAATTTATACAGGCCTCTTTTCATAGAAAATTATTTTTAATAGATTTTATCCAATGCAGACTTTAGTTCTTTGTCAAGTTGTTTTAATGGCAGATCTGTTAACATGAACTTAATACCATTAATCTTAAGTGTTTGCACCAAATATGTCATATACATCATCAGCACCTAATTGTACTAATCTAAGTAGCCAATTAACCAAAAAATAGTTTTATTTAAAAAGATAGGGTGAATCCTCTCATTTCCCTGGTTCCAACTATGTTCTTAAGCTACCACAAAACAACACAAGATCTGAAATCTTTGTACTCCTGTACTTAAAAATGTAATTGAGGCATGAAAGAAGCACTGGTGGTATCATGCCAAAAAAAAAAAAAGGAGGAGTATGAAATTTAAGCAAGAGCTTAGATGGAAAATATGTGGGATTATTAGGATTAAGTTAAATTTAAAATTTTGTCAGTACAGAACCAGAGACAAACATTTATTTATTCCCCCGTCCCTTCCTTCCTTCCTGATCTCTCTCCCTCCCTCTCCTTCCTGCCTCCCTCTTTCCATTCTTCCTCTCTCTCCCCCTCCCTCCTTTTCTCTCTTTCTTGTTCTTTTCTTTTCTTCCCTTTCCTTCTCTTTCTTTTCTTCCTGCTATTTGTTGTACATCCTTTGAGTGATGTTCTCATTTTATTGACAGGAGTGTTTTACGACAAACTTCATCAGTGGCCGAAAACTCATCCATGTAAACTGCTCAAACCTCCCTCAGATAGGGATAACAAATTTTGAGGACATGAAGGTAAGTTGTGTATAAAGTTTCCTTATAGAATGCTGTAAGAATGCTGCCATCTGTATCAAACCCACCTCCTTTTCTTCCCACCTGACCTCCTGCTTCTGTCAGTGGTGGTATCATACTCCCAGGCCTGCAGGCTCACAATGATCCCTTCCTCTCTCTCCTTTGATCCCCACAAAGATCCCAACAACTGTCAGTTTCTTCTGTAACATCTGGTTTTATCCACTCCCACTTGTTCAGACCTTTATCACCTCATACCTAGAACATTCCATTGGCCTCCTGCTTTTGGACTCTCACCTTTCAACCATTTATATATACTGTTCAGAAAACTTTTGGATCCTTTCTGCTTACAAGATAGTCTTAACTCCTTACCTTAGGATTCAAGGCCCTGCACAAGGTTTCTCCCCTACCACCCCTCTACATGAATCTTCTGCTCCAGCCTCACAAGTCTAACTCACACCCTCCAAAACCTGTCTTGTGTATTCCTCCGTCTGCATCTTTGCTTAGATCCCCTTCCCCTGTTCTGACTAATATGAATCTAAATCATCCTTCAGGACCCAGCTCAATTCTCATCTACCCATGAAGTCTTGCCTGACCTTCGCAGCCCACAGTAACCTTTCCTCTCAGCTCTCATATTTTTTGTATCTCTTATACCCATTTGACACATTTATAGCACCGTATGTATTTTTCCTGCTTTGCTATCTAACTTTGAAACAAGTTATGTTACTCTCTCTGGACAAAAGTTTTCTAAGAAATCTACAGCACCAACAGTCCATGATTATGCTTTTTTGCATAGCAGTGCCCTCCATTTATGGTGCTCTATCATTTACAAACCTTCACATACATAATCTCATTTATAGCCTTTCCTTTAATACCTCCCACCCCCAAATACCAGTGGTTTCATTTACTATGTTCTTGCCCATAAATGCTGTACCTCACTAGTTCTCAAACTTGGATAGTCTTTGTAATCAGATGAGATTTACAAATAAAAAATGCTCTGCATTCCAGAGATTTTGATTCAGTAGGTCTAGGATTGGATTTGTTCCCTAGATGACTCTTCATTTAGGTCTTAGAACCATATAATTCCATAAGTCATATGACTTAGAAAATAAGAAACATATTTTTTAATACCTAAGCCCTTTTCCTGGCAAAAAGATATAAAGAAATTCTTTAAATTATTAAACACATAGTCTTAAGTGAACATTTAATCTCTTAAATCCACTAAGAGCTATCCTCAGTGCTTACAATGTGTTGGGTACCATACTTATATTTTGTCCCTTAATCTCTGTTTTACAGAAGCGAAAACTGAGGAGAAAGGTAAAGCAGCTTACACAAGATCATTCAGATAGTTCAGTGTAAGAGCCAGGATTCAAAGTCATTCTGTGTGACTTCCAAATCCATGTTCTATTTAAACCACTATACTGTATTGCCTCTCTAAATGAACAGTTTTGTAACCATGAACTTCCATATGCATAATGTACAAAAGAACCACTTATTACAAATTGGTATTTTCAACCATGCCCTGTGTAGCTACCAAGTAATACCAGATAAGTATCCTTCTCTTTTTATGTTCACAGTTACACAACTGTGTTTATGTTATGAGTTCTACTGATGTTTATAGTGTACTGAATATTCTAAATAAAATTAGGGAATAGAATTAGCAAAATAGTCACTTGTAATCCATATTCCTGAAACATTTAAGTACCAAAAATTTCAGTATTTTATTATGAGAAAGCATTGCTCAAAGTTTGCCAAATCATTTTGCTTTCTTGACATTCTAATTCCAAAAATCAAATATCAGCATGCAATCATAAAAAAATATAATCATGCTTTTCAAGTCTTGCAAGAAACAAGAGGTCTTAATCTTTTGAAATCCTCCAAGAGTAAATGATGAATCCTCATATTCCAAAAAGTTTGAATAAGCTATGTTCAGAATACTTCTTATCAAAGGCACCAGACAAATGTGGCCTCTCCTTGAGTTACTAGAGTACCATAAAGTTCAAGACTTTCAAAGGCGTGTTAGTTAAGCTTTGCCTAACACTGAGGCCCACATAAAAACACTAATTATGCACTATAACACAGTAGCTTTTTTTTCCTTTTTTTTTCTTTTGGTATCATTAATCTACAATTACATGATTATGTTTACCAGACTTCCCCCTTCACCAAGTCCCCCCCACATACCCCTTCAGAGTCACTGTCCATCTGCGTAGTGAGATGCAGATGCTGTAAAATCACTACTTGTCTTCTCTGTGTTGCACAGCCCTCCCAGTGGCCCCCACACATTATACATGCTAATCACAAGGCCCCCTTTCTTCTTTCCCCCCTTCTCCCTCCCTTCACACCCATCCTCCCCAGTCCCTTTCCCTTTGGTAACTGTTAGTCCTTTCTTGGGTTCTGTGATTCTGCTGCTGTTTTGTTCCTTTGGTTTTTGCTTTGCTCCAGAGATGAGTGAAATCATTTGATACTTGTCTTTCTCCGCCTGGCTTATTTCACTGAGCATAAGACCCTCTAGCTCCATCCATGTTGTTGCAAATGGTAGGATTTGTTTTCTTCTTATGGCTGAATAATATTCCATTGTGTATATGTACCACCTCTTCTTTATCCATTCATCTACTGATGGACACTTAGGTTGCTTCCATGTCTTGGCTATTGTAAATAGTGCTGCGATAAACATAGGGGTGCATCTGTCTTTTTCAAACTGGGCTGCTGCATTCTTAGGGTAAATTCCTAGGAGTGGAATTCCTGGGTCAAATGGTATTTCTATTTTGAGTTTTTTGAGGAACCTCCATACTGCTTTCCACAATGGTTGAACTAATTTACATTCCCACCAGCAGTGTAGGAGGCTTCCACTTTCTCCACAACCTTGCCAACATTTGTTGTTGTCTTTTGGATGGTGGCGATCCTTACTGATGTGAGGTGATATCTCATTGTGGTTTTAATTTGCATTTCTCTGATGACTAGCGATGTGGAGCATCTTTTCATGTGTCTGTTGGCCATCTGAATTTCTTCTTTGGAGAACAACACAGTAGCTTTTTAAAGATCATACATGGACTTAAATAAGCCATAGTTACCTTCATTACCCGTATACTAAGCATTTTTAATCCCACTGTTGCAATTACAGCACCTAGTACATCCACAATTTACCTCATAACAACACTTTCACAGTGTAGTTATCTTTTTCATGCTTACTGTCCCACAGCATCATTCATGGCCTCTGGAAGCCTGGGAGGAGGGGGGAAGAACAGGTGGCTTGGAAGTACAGAATTCTGGACATGCTGCTAAGAAACTGAACCACATTTGAACTGTGTGCCCAATTTACAAGGCATGCAGTTAATTTATGGCCAGTTTCTATTTTCTTTAACTCCCTTTTACTTCCTTAATTTTGCAACTACTCATGCTTCACCTGCAGAAAGAATTCACCTTTCTCTTTGGCCTTCCTACAACATTCTGAGATTACCAGAGAAGAGCTAAGTGTATAGGTGAGACTGGTGAGGTGTACAGAAGGAAAGAAACACTGATTTTTCTTTTCACCTACCCAAGGGAGCTCTTCAAACCACTATCCTGTCTTTCCCCTTTGTAAGAATACATTAGCTTGGTAAAAAGTGAGAGTCAATCTTATTTATTCTAGTAAAAAGCTAGACAAGATAGAATTATACTTGCTTCAGTTTACTCTCTTAAAAAATAATTCTCAAAATATTTTTAAATATTCACTCCATCAAGTGAACAGAAGAACTATGATATAAATATTTGGAGGAGAAAATAGGTGAATTGCTTATTTTTTTATATGCATTTTATTTTACAAAGTATAGCCTTATAAGCTTTATTATATCTCATCAATTTTACTACACTTGCTTTGTTGCAAACTACTTAAATAGCACAACATGTGAGCAATTATCACTAGAGAAAAATATTTTTTTAATTTTTAATTTTCAAATAATTTTAGTTTTACTGAAGAGTTGCAAAGGTAGTTTGGAGAGTTCCCATATACTCAACCCAGCTTCCACTAATGTTAACAACTTATTGAAGCATGTGATAGTAGGATACAGGCAGATAAAGTTCAGGACCCTGTATGTTTCAAAAAAAAAAGCCCCAATCCAACTCAGCTGCTTAGTTAGACAGACCTCAGCTGCTCTGATTGGTTATGCTCTATGCAGATAAAACCCAGCCATTCAATAGATCACTGAGACAGAGTTTAGGTGCTCTGACTGGTTGTGCCTTACGAAAACGAAGCATTGTACTTTCAGCCAATGAGGAGTGAGTTGTGATGTCATTAGTCCAGTTCTCTATTAGGTCCAGGGGTGGGTGGGACTTCCTCCTCTCAGGAGGCAATATAAACCCCAGACACCACAGCTCTGAGGGCCTTCTTCGTTGGAGCTCGTCCTGATTAACAGGAACTTTCTCTTTTCACTCATTAAAAGAGCTTTGCTGGTTGCTCTGTACTCTTTGCTGGCTTCATTCTTTGTTGCCTCCAAGACACAATCCTGGGAAGAAACAGTGTTCCAACCAGTAACATTATATAACCATCCTATATGTATCAAAACTAAGAAATTAATTAATCCATATAGTACTACTGAACAAACTATAGACTTTATTCAGATTTCTACAGTTTTTCCAGTGATGTCCTTTCTTTGTTCCAGGATCCAATTAGGTATACCACTTTGCATTTAGCTGACATTCTTCCTTGGTCTCCTCTAATATGTGACAGGTTTTTCAAATATTTCTTTGGCTTTCATGATCTTGACACTTTAAAGAGTAGTGGTCAGGTATTTCATAGATTTCCTTCAATTTCAGTTTGTCTTGCATCGCCCAGGAGGTCATGCTTTTTGGGAGAGACTGTCAGACAGGTGATGAGCCCTTCTCATCTCATCAAGGAGCACGTGATATCCACATGATTTATTACTGGAGATGTTAACCCTGATCACTTGGTTAAGGTAGCATCTGCCAGGTTTCTTCACTACAAAGTTACTGTTTTTCCCTTTCCATAGTCTATTCACCAGAAGTGAGTTCTAAATCCCACCCACACAAAGAAAGAGTAATTAAGCCCCATCTCCCATAGGGTGGGTATCAAAGAGTTTATGGACATACAGAAAACTAGCACTGTAATAAATATATTGGGGGAGATATTTTGAGGCTAGGCAAATACTCAATTTCTCAACATTTTGACCACTAATTTTAACTTTCTTCAGTGGATCTTGCCTGCAGAAGTTATTACTGTGTTGTTCTAATGATGATTTTTCTGTTTCCCTCATTTCTTCCATGTTTAATTCAAACTCTCCTTAAGGAATTCTTCTGTGCTTAATTGTCCTTTCTCCCCAGTGTGGTAGTTCTTTTAAGTTGGTCCCATGTCCTTTTGACATGTTCCCTTTATTTTGTTAGCACTTTTTGACACTGTATGTTACTTCAGACTCATTTTGTATTTGCCTTGCTGCAGACCTAGAATCATTTGTGGCTCCAAGGAGCACTAGTTGCTTTTATCCAAGAATGGTATTTAGAAACCAAGATGTGGGCACTAGTTGCACTTGTTGCTGCTGGGGTATCACTGCTTCCAGGCACTCATAAGGAAGATGTAGGAAATGTATGTATACACAAATATCCATCTTATTTCAGTAAACACAAGCTCATGTTAATGCCTCTGACTCTAGGCAGCACCACAGCGGTCATTCTGGCCTTTGCATTGTTTCTATTCCTGCCCTGCTTTGCATCTTTATATCTTTTTTCTCTGACAGTGAGAAACCTGGTTGTCCTTATCTATCAATATGTATTCCTATGAGAAAAAAAAATTGACCAAATAGAGTACAGTCTTTCTGTACAGTTCTTTTTGTCTTTGGCTTTGTGCTACCTCAACAAAGCACTGTTTTTCAAAGTTAAAGGTATTTTAGGTTAGCTCCTTTCCTCCCAACCCCCTTCAGTGAGATTAAGACTTACTTTATAATACAGTGGGATTCATTTGTTCACAATCTATATTCCATCATAGGTTCCTGTAATATCCTTGCTTTTTGAAAATTTGCATACAATAAAGTCACTCTTTCTAGTATGGTTCTATGGGTTTTGACAAATGCACAGGGTCATATCCACCACCACAAAACCATACAGAACAATTCGTTCATCCTAAGATCTCCCCTGTGTCCCCTTTGGAGCCAGCTCATTCCTCTACTACAATCTCTGGCAACCATTAATCTGTTTTTGTCCCTGCTTTGCTTTTTCAGAATGTCACATAAGTGGAATCAAATAATATGTAGCCTGTGAGTCCGATTTCTTTCCCTTAGCCAAATGCATTTAAGATTAATTCACATTATTATATGAATCAACAAGCAGATTTTAAAAAGATTATTCATCTGCTTTAGTAATGGTGGCTTAGATGATTTACATTTGAACCATAACAATTACGTCTTTAAGCTTAATTGAAGCAAATTATAGGTTCCAATTAGACAAATGTGCACTTACATCTATAAGGTAGCTAAACAGTGCATAATAAATTGGTAATGATGAAGAAAAACCATTAGTAGTTTACAAATACAAGCAAAAGTAGCAGCCTTCAAAAAACATGATCAATACAAGATACAATAATGATATGGTAATAATTATAATCTTCCTGGGACTATAAGATTATAAATGAGAGATGCTCTGCAATGATGTCAAGAAATTAGTATGGGCCACCATCCTAGAATGTGGAATTAAGAATCTTTAGAAAACTCTAAAAATCTTTATGAATATCTATGTTTAATAATCCTTACAAATGCAAGTAAGCTACTAATAAGTTGCTCTAAGTCTTAGACAAAAATTAAGTCTACTGCTTATTATTCATAAGAACTAAAGAAAGAACTAAGTTTTAGATTAGTTTATTGCCCATTAAAGGACTCTCACGATCCATCGATGGACCTCAGACATACCTTAAGAATCACTGATCAATGCTCAGTGAAATAAGCCAGGCGGAGAAAGACAAGTGCCAAATGATTTCCCTCATTTGTGGAGTATAACAACAAAGCAAATCTGAAGGAACAAAACAGCAGCAGACTCACAGACTTCAAAAAGGGAGTAGCAGTTACCAAAGGGAAGGGGTATGGGAGGGCGGGTCGGGAGAGAGGGAGATGGGGATTAAGGGGTATTATGTTTAGTGCACAAGGGGGGGGGTGGTCACGGGGAAACAGTGTAGTACAGAGAAGGCAAATAGGGAATCTGTGACATCTTACTACACTGATAGACAGTGACTGCAATGGGGTATGGGTGGGGACTTGATAATATGGGTAAATGTAATAACCACATGGTTTTTTCATGTGAAACCTTCATAAGAGTGTATATCAATAATACCTTAATAAAAAATAAAAAATAGAAAAGATGCCATTACCTGAGCAACCTAGAATTCCTCTCTGCTGGGGGCTGGCTGCCCTCTGGTGGCCGTTTTTGGGAAACTGCAGCCGGTCAGGCAGCCGGGACCAGATGACAATCCCAACTCTACCCAAGCCTGGCATACAGCGCCTCAGCCAGGGGCTGGAGGCCAGGCCTCACTCTGTGATGCCCTAGAGGAGGCAGGGTGCAAGCCAACACCTGACACCCCTGCCAGCCAGGGTATGGCCCCAGTGCTTCCCTTGTCGTGTCCCTGACCCAACCCTCGATAAAAAATGATTTTGTGAAAAAAAAAACCTAATCCTGAATATGGATTTGAGATATCAGTAGCAACTCATAGTGTGTTTTAACTTAAAAAATATATGTATATGTATACACACACACACACACACACACACACACACACACACACAAAGGAGGGATAGTTAGATTGTATTTCCTCATTTCACACGTATCTAATAGCTTTATAACACTTGAAATTTCTGCATTAGAATATTAATCAGTATTGGACTTTCTTGGCCTAAGGTAGGCATTAGCTCTTTTGGTTAATATTAACTATGTTAATAACTATAAGATCCCTCCTCGAGAACTATCTGTAAACCTCAGTGGATTTGTAAAATAACCTCTCCTGGTAGGTGGCAATCCAAAGGAGAGTCAGGGTGAGATACTGACAAAACAAGATGCTCAGTGTAGCAGCGTCAATTATGAATGAGAATTATTTTTTTATTAAGATATCATTGATATACACTCTTATGAAGGTTTCACAAGAAAAACAATGTGTTTATTACATTCGCCCTTATTATCGAGTCCCCACCCACACCCTATTGCAGTCACTGTCCATCAATGTAGTAAGATGCCACAGAGTCCCTATTTGTCTTCTCTGAGCTACACTGTCTTCCCATGACTCCACACACACCATGTGTACTGATCATGATACCCCACAATCCCCTTCTCCCTCCCTCCCCACCCGCCCTCCCACACCCCTCCCCTTTGGTAACCTCTAGTCCCTTCTTGGAGTCTGTGAGTCTGCTGCTATTTTGTTCCTTCAGTTTTGCTTCGTTCATATACTCCACAAATGAGGGAAATCTATAAATGAGAATTCTTAAGAGCCACCTGTAGTAATTAATTTGTATCTCAACTCTTAGAAACTTCATTTGCTTACAGACCTCAGTGAATTCCCCCTGGGAATGTAAGACAACTATGTTGAATGCCTTGTACCCACAAACCACCTCTAGAGTCTAAACAAAACCAATTCAAGTAAGATTTGAGAAGAAAGGTATCTTGCTTATCTAAAATGTATTGCTAATGGGCGGTTTTACAAGTTTAGAATTGTATGTAACATGAATTTTACAGCCTTGGGACTATGTGTTTGAAACAAAAAATTAAAAAAGATCCACTTCACTTACTCCTTTGGTTGTGTTCTGGCAGAAATTTCATGGACTACATTCTAATCCATATGCAGAATATGAATTCAAATAACAGCATTCTGACAGACCTATGATTAAAATAGAATTTGAAAATGCAATGACAGGTTCAATTGAGGATATCAAGATGCATGGTGTTTGATGAATACAAATTATGTTTTCAAGACATGAAAAATTGTGGAAAATTTAAAAGATATTAAAAGTATGCAGGCACAAGTACTCATAAAACAGCTGGAAATTGAATGTCTGCTTTTTAGTGTTTGAGACTCATTTTTAGTCAAACAAATTGAACAACTGTTTGAGTAGTTTTTTTCTTTGTTGAAAATTAACTGAGCCCCTTATAGACAAGTTATTTATTAACCTTCCCAGAGATAGTTGTGGCTCCTAATCTGGTCATATTATCTGTTCGTATGGCTGGGCAGATAGCTCAGCCAAAAGAAAGAAATGAATGTATCCATAGCCATCTGATGCAAGTGCCTAGAAACATCTTTAAACGGTACTTTAAAAAAGATAATAAATCACATGATGTTTCTCTTCAAAACTTTGTTTTGATAAGACAAGGATAATAAACCTTTCAATGTGATATTTCATTATTTTGTTTTCCCAATAACTTGTGGGGTTAGGATCCAAGAGGCCTATAAAACTAAGTAAAACTTATTTGCTTTGGTTGTATTTTAAGGTTAGTTCCATTAAAAAAAAAAGCTTCCTTGTATTTCAGGTAATTTCTTGGCATACTCGGGACCTACTGAGAATTGAAGAGCCATTATTCAGTCGCAGCATCAGCCTTCCCTACAGAGACACTATAGGCTTATTTTTAGAGCAAAAAGGTCATACAGGGGTAAAATCTGATTCCTTGATGTTATCTGAATTTGTGCAAGCAGCAGGATTACAGGATTATGCTCCACAAATAACTGCCCCTGAAGAAAGTGAGGCATTAAATTACACTGAGCCATAGAGAAAAGCCATTTCACTTAGCTTGAAAGATGAAACTAAATTACTTGTAGGAAAAACTGTGGTCTTATGGGGTTTTCTTTTTCTCCTCTTTATTAAGGATCTGAGTTAGAACTGTTGGCTCCTTACTAGCCTTATCACTGACTCACAGCACCTCCCCTTTGTTTGTGTTTCAATTTAGCCCCTCATTAAAACAAAGATAGCAATGCTTCTCTTTCTGGGTAATTGTAAGAATTCCTGTTAAATTCAAGTAATGCATCTAGTAGTAGGAGCATGTTGAGGAAACAGAATTACAAGTGAAATCTCTTGCTAACCTAGATAATCCTCTCCACAAGTGCAGAAAAAGAAACAGTTTAATTATTGAATCAAAACTAAATCAGACTGTGATGCACATCACAGACAAGCCACAAAAGAGACTACAAAGATAAGGAAATCTTACCCTTTCATATAGCCAGGTAGATACAACCCTTAACTTACATGTTAACTATATGTACCCAAAGGAAAAATAAAACTTCTCATATCTCTATGACAAATAAGAAGTCATTCCTGGGAGCCAAGCATTTAGGCTAAATTTGCACAGAGTCGGGAAAACAAGATAACATCCTCCTAGATGCTCACATTTCAAAGAGATGGCTCCAAGCCCCTCAGAAAGACAAGTCATGGGAATTAAAACTGGCAGGTGGTGAGAAAGGAAAGAAGGGAGGGAGAAGAAAAGATGGTGGCATGAGAAGTGAGGCAGAAACCTCCTCCCAAAACCACATATAACATGAAAATACAGCAAATACAACTAATTCTGAAAGAGTGACCAGAAAGAAGACTGCAATAGACAGCCTACATCTGGGAAAAAGAGAAGACCTCACAGAAAAGGGTAAAGTAGCAAAGCTGCAATCCAGTGGGACCCAAGCCTTGCTCCTACCCCAGCTCACAGGCAGGATGAAGAGAAATGGAGCAGGGTGGGAGTAGAAGCCCAGAACAGCTAAACACCCACCCATGGAGATCCACTCTGGGAGCACAAACCCACATTACATGGTGCTCTGGAGATTAGTGGGGTTGGAAAGCAAAGACATGCAGAATACCCAGAGAGACTGATTCCAACCACTTGTGGAAAACAGGGACCCACAACCAGCCACTCCAGGACTAAAGAAAGGTGGGCACTTTGAAAGACTTCCCAACAGCAAGAGGGGTACTAAAGGGGCAAGAATTACACAGAGCTTACTGCACAGGAGAAAGGTCAGGTGGACAAAATCATCTCAGCACAACCCAGTAGGTTGGGGATGTTCAGGAGCCTCAAGCGATCCAACCCCCTGGCTGGCGATGCAGCGCCAAGATGCCCCACTGCAGTATTCAGCCTGCTTTTCCTCCCGCCTGGCTAGCACAAATTTGCAAACCTACTGCCCCTGCTATTGCACCAGGCCAGCCAGAGGGTGGCCCCACCTATGGCAGCTACAGGGACATAACACAGAGGGTCCTCCCTGCACACTGGGCCAACTGGCCCTGGCAGTGGAAGCAGGCACTGCAGCCAGGTAGCAGGAAAGAGCTCTTGCCTCCCATCAGGCACCAGTGCCACTCACCTGTGACCCCCACCATCACTCCAAGTGCTAGGCAGCTCCAGAGAAGAGAGCTTCTGAATACTAGAGGGCAGGGCACTGCCTACACAAAGTTGTTATCCCAGAATAATCATTAGAAATATGAAACGGCAAAAGAATCTGGTACGAACCAAAATCCCTCAAACACCAGAAAAAGGCATAAGTGAAATGAAAATCACTAATCTTCTTAATAAAGAGTTCAAAATAAAAATCATAAACCTGCTCACAAAGCTACAGAAAACTATTCAAGGTCTCAGAAATGACTTCAAGAAAGATAGAAACTTTGAAAAATACAGTATCTGAAATGAAACATACAATGGAGGGATTTAAAAGCAGATTAGATGAGATAGAGGAGACGGAAAATGAAATATAAATTAGAGAACAGGAATAAAAAGAAGCTGAGGCACAGAGAGAAAAAAGGACCTCTAGGAAAGAAAGAATAAAAGAACTATGCAACCAATCCAAACAGAACAATATTCAAATTATAGAGTTACCAGAAGAAGAGAGAGAGAAATGGATAGAAAGTCTCTCTGGGGAAATAATTGCTGAAAACTTCCCCAATCTGAGGAAGGAGGTAGTCTCTCAAGCCATGGAAGTGCACAGATCTCCCAACACAAGGGACCCAAGGAAGACAACATCATAACATTTAATAACTAAAATGGCAAAGATCAAGGATAAAGAGAGACTTTAAAAAGCAGCTAGGGAGAGAAAAAAGACCACATACAAAGGAAAACCCATCAGGCTATCAGACTTCTCAGCAGAAACCTTAGAGGCCAGAAGGGAGTGGCATGATATATTTAATGCAATGTAACAGAAGGGCCTCAAGCCAAGAATATTCTATCCATCAAGATTATAATTTAAATTTGAAGCAGGGATTAGACAATTTCCAGAGAAACAAAAGTTGAGGGAATTTATCTCCCAAAAACCACAGTGTATTTTGGAGGGACTGCTATAGATGGAAGTGCTCCTAAGGATAAATAGCTGTCACCAGGGAAAATAAAACCACAGTAAGGGAAGTAGACCAAATAATTACTATGCAAATACAAAATTAAGTAAACTACCCACAAAGCCAGTCAAAGGATACACAAAGAGCACAGAATATGACACCTAACATATAAAGAGTGGAGGAGAAAGAAAAAGAGAGAAAAAAAAGAACCTTTAGATTGTGTTTGAAATAGCACAATAAGCAAGATAGACTGTTTGATAGTAAAGAAGCTGCCCTTGAACCTTTGGTAATTCCAAATCCAAAGCCTGCAATGGGAATAAGTACATATCTATCGATAATCATGCTAAATGTAAATGGACTGAACACCAATCAAAAGACATAGAGTTAGAGAATGGATAAAAAAGCAAGACCCAACTATATGCTGCCTACAAGAGACTCACTTCAAACCCAAAGGCATAGACCAAAAGTGAACAGATGAAAAAAGACACTACATGCAAATAATAGGGAGGGAAAAGCAGGAGTTGCAGTACTTACATCAGACAAATTAGACTTCAAAACAAAGAAAGTAACAAGAGACAAAGAAGGACATTACATAATGATAAAGGGGTCAGTCCAACAAGAGGATATAACTATTATAAATATCTATGCACCCAACACAGGATCATCTACATATGTGAAACAAACACTAAAATGATTAAAGGGGGAAACAGAATGCAATGCATTCATTTTAGGAGACTTCAACACACCACTCCAAATGACAGATCAACCAGACAGAAAATAAGGAGATGAAGGCACTGAACAACACATTAAAACAGATGGACCTAACAGACATCTACAGAACACTCCACCCAAAATCAGCAGGATAGATGTTCTTCTCAAGTGCATATGGAACATTTTTCAGACTAGATCACATTCCAGGCCACAGAGAGAACCTCAGTAAATTCAGAAGGATTGAAATAGTACCAACCAGCTTCTCAACCACAAAGGTATGAAACTAGAAATAAATTATGCAGAGAAAATAAAAAAGGCCACAAACACATGGAGGCTTAAAAATATGCTTTTAATTAATCAGTGGATCAATGACTAAAAACAGATCAAGCAATATATGGAGACAAAATGAAAACAATAACAACATTGCAAAATCTTTGGGGTGCAGCAAAGGCCATTCTAAGATGGAAATATATTGCAAAACAGGCTTACCTCAAGAAAGAAGAACAATCCCAAATGAGCAGTCTAAACTCACAATGTAACTAGAAAAAGAAGAACAAATGAGGCCCAAAGTCAATAGAAGGAGGGACATAATAAACATCAGAGCAGAAGTAAATAAAATTGAGAAGAATAAAACAATAGAAAGAATTAACAAAACCAAGAGCTGGTTCTTTGAGAAAATAAACAAAATAGATAAACCCCTAGTTCAGACTTATTAAGAAAAAAAGAGAGTCTACACACATAAACAGAATGAGAAATGAGAAAGGAAAAATTACTACAGACACCACCAAAATACAAAGAATCATTACAGAATACTATGAAAAGTTACATACTAGCAAATTGGATAACCTAGAAGAAATGGACAAATTTCTAGAAAAATACAACCTTCTAAGACTGACCCAGGAAGAAACAGAAAATCTGAACAGACCAATTACCAGCAATGAAATTCAATCAATAATCAAAAAACTACCCAAGAACAAAACCCACAGACCAGATGGATTCACCACTGAATTTTCTCAGACATTTAGAGAAGACCTATTACCCATCCTCCTCAAAGTTTTCCAAAAAGTAGAAGAGGAGGCAATACTTCCAAACTCATTCTATGAGGCCAGCATCACTCTAATACCAAAACCAGGCAAAGAAACCACAAAAAAAGAAAATTACAGACCACTATCCCTGAACATAGATGAAAAAACCCTCAACAAATATAGCAAACTGAATTCAGAAATACATCAAAAAGATCATTCATCATGATCACGTAGGATTTATTCCAGGAATGCAAGGATGGTACAATACTTGAAAATCCATCAACATCATACACCACATCAACAAAGAGGAGGACAAAAATCACATGATCATCTCCATAGATGCTAAAAAAGCAACAAAATGCAACATCCATTCATGATAAAAACTCTTATCAAAATGGCAAGAACCTCAACATAATAAAGGCCATATGAGAAAAACCCACAGCAAACATCATACTTAACAGCCAAAAGCTGAAAGCTTTTCCTTTAAGATCAGGAACAAGACAAGGATGTCCACTCTCCCCACTTTTATTCAACATAGTACTGGAGGTCCTAGCCACGGCAATCAGAGAACACAAAGAAATAAAAGGCATTTAGATTGGTAAGGAAGAAGTGGAAGTATCACTGCAGATGACATTGTACATAAAAAACCCTAAGGAAGCCACCCAAACCTACTAGAACTTATGATTAAATTCAGCAAAGTTTTAGGATACAAAATTAATACACAGAAATCTGCTGCCTTCCTATACACTAATGATGAACTAGCAGAAAGAGAAATCTGGAAAACAGCTCCATTTACAATTGCATCAAAAAGAGTAAAATACCTAGGAATCAATCTAACCAAGGAGATGAAACACCTACACTCTGAAAACTACAAGACACTCATGAGAGAAATTGAAGACAAAAATAAATGGAAATTTATCCCATACTCATGGATAGGAGGAACTAATATTGTCAAAATGGCCATCCTGCCTAAAGCAATCTACAAATTCATTCAATCCCTATCAAAATACCAACAGCATTCTTCAACAAACTAGAGAAAATAGTTCTAAAATTCATATGGAACCACAAAAGATCCCGAATAGCCAAAGCAATCCTGAGAAGGAAGAACAAAGCTGCGGGGACTACACTCCCTGACTTCAAGCTCTACTACAAAGCCACAGTAATCAAGACAATTTGGTATTGGCACAAGAACAGACCCATAGATCAATGGAACAGAACAGAGAGCCCAGATATAAAACCAAACATATATGGTCAATTAATGTACAATAAAGGAGCCATGGATATACAATGGGGAAATGACAGCCTCTTCAACAGCTGGTGTTGGCAAAACTGTACAGTTGCATGTAAGAGAATGAAACTGGATCATTGTCTACCTCCATACACAAAAGTAAACTCAAAATGGATCAAAGACCTAAATGTAAGTCATGAAACCATCAAATTCATAGAAGTAAACATAGGCAAAAATCTCTTGAATATAAACATGAGCTACTTTTTCCTGAACACATCTCCTTGGGCAAGGGAAATAAAAGCAAAAATGAACAGATGGGAGTACATCAAACTAAAAAGCTTCTGTACAGTACAGGACACCATCAGTAGAACAAAAAGGCATTCTACAGTATGGGAGAATACATTCGTAAGTGACATATCTGACAAGGGGTTAACATCCAAAATATATAAAGAATTCACACACCTCAACACCCAAAAAGCAAACAACCCAATTCAAAAATGGGCAGAGGATCTGAACAGACTCTTCTCTAAGGAAGAAATTCAGATAGCCAACAGGCACATGAAAAGATGCTCCACATCTCTAATTATCAGGGAAATGCAAATTAAAACCACAAAGAGATATCACCTCCCACCAGTCAGGATGGCCAACATCCAAAACTAAGAGCAACAAATGCTGGCGAGGATGCAGAGAAAGGGGAACCCTCCTACACTGTTGGTGGGAATGTAAATTAGTTCAACCATTGTGGAAAGCAGTATGGAGGTTCCTCAAAAAACTAAAAATACAAATACCATTTGACCCAGGAATTCCACTCCTAGGAATTTACCCAAAGAATACAACTTCTCAGATTCAGAAAGACATATGCACCCCTATGTTTATCGCAGCACTATTTATAATAGCCAAGAAATGGAAGCAACCTAAGTGTCCATCAGTAGATGAATGAATAAAGAAGATGTGGTACATATATGCAATGGAATATTTTTCAGACATAAGAAAAAAAGAAATCCTACCATTTGCAACATGGATGGAGCTAGAGGGTATTATACTCAGTGAAGTAAGCCAGGTGGAGAAGGACAAGTACCAGATTATTTCACTCCTCTGTGGAGTTTAACAACAAAGCAAAACAGCAGGAGACGCATAGACTTCAGGAAGGGACTAGGGGTTACCAAAGGCAAAGTGGAGGGGAGGGTCGGTGGGGAGGGAGGGAGAAGCAGATTAAGGGACTTTATGATTAGCACACATAATGTAGGGGGATCACGGGGAAGACAGTGTAGCACAGAGAGGACAAGTAATGATTCTATTGCATCTTACTACGCTGATGGGCAGTGACTGCCACGGGGTGTGGGGGGGGAACTCGATAGTGTAATGTGGATGAATGTAGTAACCACACTGTTGCTCATGTGAAACCTTCGTAAGGTTGTATATCAATGATAACCTCAATTTAAGAAAAACTGGCAAGTGGCTTTTTGAGCTTTTTGAAAGCTTTATATACACCTCAAAAGCAGAGAAAAATGATTTGAATTACCAGTTTTGTAAAGGAAATATTTTTTGAAAAAGGAATATGGAATCAGAAAAAAAAAATTTTTATTTTCATTGTTTTATTGTATCATGTGTCCAAAACATCTGAACAAGGTGATACCTGGGTGGTAAGGCAGCCACTTTCTCCAGAAAAAAATTTTTTAAAAAATTTTCTTTAGATTTATATTTGTCCTTACAAACAAATCTGTGTCTAGAAGTACCATTGACTATGGGGTAGGATCTGGAGTTTGCTTACAAGGCTCTTTTATGTGGTACTTTCAAAACCTTTATAAAATGAAATTCAGGCCAGACTTCACTCATGACTGGACTGTTCAAAAGAAATGACAGAATATTTCTTGTTTGAATGACTCCTGTTCCTCTCTATTTTTACAGACTTAACTGTTCTTTCTTTCACCAGTCTCACTTCTTAATCCAAAGAACCACTCTCAGGCTACAATAATCCAGAAGGGCAATGGTGTACCTTGTCCAGTTCCCTTAACACCTGAATGAATACGCTAAGGAATCCATTTTTTTTTCCTACTGAGAGGAGAAACAATGCCTCAAATTAGCATTCATACCAAGTGTTAATATCTGATGATGAACCTATTTTTTTTTCCAAATTGGACTAACAGAATTTTATCTCATGCCATGCAACAATATACCATTGAGTTTGCCTGGTATTTATGCAAAATATTTAAAATACAATTATGCAAAAAGAAAAATGTAGGTGATTAACCTAACACTCTAGTGGCTTAAGTGTATAGTGAGTGATTTTATTCAAAAGTAGCATTTAGCAAACTGGTTCTGATTGATGACAGAGTCAATGTCATCTTTCCTCAACTTGAATGATCATTGCTATTGTTTTCTACTCTATTAAAATTGACAAAGTATTTGTAAAATGTAAAGGAAATAAATTGCATTGTAGCAATAAGATATGTATTTTGCAAAATTGTTTTTAGCCATTTAATATGAATGCCCTATTTTTTAAAATGATTTTATGGTTTAAAATGGTTTAAATGGGAACAGCTTTAAATAAGATAGACCAGAACAGTCCTATATAGCTGAAATTAGCATAAAGTGAGTCATAATTCAATTAAAATTGTTTACCACACATTTTACTTCTCTACCCAAAAATGGTAGGAAAATCAAACTGTGTCATTTGTCAGCTACATACTGCTTAAGGAAAAGAAGCTGCAGTATGTAACTGATAATGACATTTTAACTTCTTGAATTTAGCTTTTAGAAGAGAGATAATCTATATCACCAAGGCTTTCCTGGGGAAGCAGCTTACTTAAATGTGTTAGGTCATATAGTTTCATTTGGTTACTTCCAAAGACAAACACATCCAAATATTCTGATGTAAGAGACCTCTTGTTTTACACAACATTTTAAAGAGCCATCAGTACAATATTCTGATGCCTAACACGTGGCAAACACAATATAGTCACATGACTCCCACTGTCAATTGTGATAATCAGGGGACAACCACTGGAGAGAGAGAGAAAAAAATTCCTAATTCTGAGGTCTCTTATCTTACTGGGATGAAGAAGCTGAGGAAACTACTGGCTGTTCTTCTCTGGTTAGGGAGATGCCGAATGAATCACAGTACAGATGAGTAAGGTGGTCTTGGAGAGAAGCACTGGTTGAGAGATGCTGACTGAAGGGAGTTTTCTTGAGTTGCACAGCAGTCAAATCGAACCAGGGGAAAGGCCTAGGGTGAAAAGAAAAAGAAGTTACTTTTTTATGTCTGCTCAGTACATCTGATTTGGCTGTTAAATATTTTCTTTAAAGAAAGTTTTCCTCCACTTGGAAATAAGGTTCTTCATTCTCTGTATCAAACTGATTAAAATTCACAGTTAAAATTTTAGCTCAAACTATTCAATATGTGGATTTGATTGTACTTTTGATGAGTTTTCACACATAGGTACATTTCTAAGTGCATTTGTGGAGGAATCCTTATAGTAATGACATCACTCACCTTTTTTATATTTCCCTGAATTTAGAGAGCACATGAGAGGATCATGAGTATTGGTAATGGAAAATATCTCATTTCTTTTAAGATAATTATCTTAAAAGAACAAGATATCCTCTTCAACTGTATAGGGAAAGAAGTAGAATTATATGCAGGACAAAATGGGGCAATGTTAAATATTAGTTTATAGTGGAATTCAAGTTAAAAAGCATTTAAGACGTTGGGTTATACTGTTACAAAGATCAAGAGTAAGGCAAGGATATTGCTCTCACCAGCCTTATTCAACATAGTACTAAAAGTTGTAGCCTGTGTAATAAATAAGGCAAGAAAAGGAATTAAAAGGCATAGGGAAGGAAGGAAGAATAAAACCATTCCTACTTATTGGAAAGGAAGTAATAAAAAAACTGTCCCTATTTATAGATGGTATGATTGTCTAGAACATTCCAAAGAATCTACAGACATATCTGTTAGAACTAATAGATGAGTCTAGTAAGGTTGCAGGATGCTAAGTAAACATACAAAAATCAATTGTATTTATAGATATAGTTGGTCCTTGAACCACCCGGGTTTGAACTGCATGGGTCCATTTTTACATGGAATTTTTTCAATAAATATATTGGAAAAAATTTTGGAGATTTGCAGCAATTTGGAGAAACCTATTCTTTTCTCTAGCTTCCTTTATTGTAAGAATATAGTATATATAACATACAAAATGCACATTAATGAACAATTTGTGTTAAGAATAAAGCTTCTGGTCAACAGTAAACTATTAGTATTTAAGTTTTGGGGGAGTTAAAAGTTACATACAGATTTTTTTACTGCACAGGGGTTTATGCCCCTAACCCCTGCCTTGTTCAAGGGTCAGCTGTACAATACCAAAACCAGGATATTGACACCAATATAATCAAGATACAGAACAGTTCTATCACTAAGGGATCCCTCATATTGGTCCTCTCCTCCCCAAACTGGCAACGTTAATCTGTTCTCTATTTCTATGATTTTCATCATTTCCAGAATGTTATGTAAATGGAATCATATAGTAAGTAACCTTTTGGCATTGACCTTTTTCATTCAGCATAATTCTCTGGAGATTCATCCAAGTTGCTGTGTGTATCAAAAGTTATTCCTTTTATTACTGAGTAGTATTCATGGCATGGATGTTTGTTTAATCATTCACCTACTGAAGGACATCAAAGTTGTTTCCAGTTTGGGGCTATTATGAATAAAGCTACTATGAACATTCACATACAGGTTTTTGTGTGAACCTAAGTTTTGTTTTCTCTGGGACAAATGTTCAGGAGTGCAATTACTAGGTCTTACGGTAGTTGCATATTTATTTTTTTAAGACACTGCCAAACTTTTTCAGAGTGGTTATACCATTTTACATTATCACTAGCAATGTATAATCCATTTTCTCTGCATCCTTATTAATATTTGGTGTTGTCACTAATTTTTATTTTACCATTATATCTATAGATCAATTTATGGAGAATTGGCATCTTTATTATGCTTCTCCATTTATTTACATCTTCTCTTATTTATTTCATCAGTATGTCTCTCCATTTATTCACATCTTGTCTTATTTATTTCATCAGCATGTTGTAGCTTCTAGTATGCAAGTCCTATACATATTTTGTTAGATTTTCACCTAAGTATTCCGTTTGGTGTGTATGTGAATGGAAATGCATTTTTAATTTCAATGCCCAAGTATTCACTGCTAATACAATTTACCGTCGAACAATAGAGGGGTTTGGGCACAGAACCTCCATGCATTAAAAGTCTGCGTATAACTTCTGATCCCCCAAAAACTTAACTAATAGTCTACTGTTGACTGGAATCCTTACCAATAACACAGAGTCAATTAACAATATTTTGTATGTTATATGTATTATATACCATATTTTTACAATAAAGTAAGCTAGAAAATGAAAATGTTAAAATCACAAGAAGAAAATACATTTACAGTACTATATAGTATTTATTGAAAAAATCTGCATATAAGTAGACTCATGCAGTTCAAACTTGTGTTGTTTAAGGGTCAACTGTAATTAGAAGACAAAAGATAAGAGGGGAAGAATTAAGGATTCTTTACTATATACATATTTTATATATATTCTGGACATACATATATGTTTATACATATATATGTAATATGGGGAATATATATAGAGATTCCCCATATTTCTAAAAAGTATACATAGATACACAAATCCACACATTACCAGGGTTTTGACTTGAACAACTTAGCAAAGGAGCATGTAATTAGATAAGAAACACTGGGAGAGCAGACATGCTTCTGGACACATTGAGTTTGAGTGGAGATTATAAATATGAATTTACCTGGGTGTAGTGTTGACATCTAGGACAGATATATAGAGTCAAATGCTGTCAGCATAAAGGTGGCAACCTAAGTCTCTCAAGTGGGAAATATCACCAATGGACGAAATGTAGAATAAAAAAAAAGTAGGCCTGAAAATTCCCAGATTTAATGATACAGCAGAAGAGGAGCTGGAGACAGGAAGAAAATGAGGCATATGTGAGGATATCATGAGAGTCAAGAGAAGAGATTGCTTCAAGAAGGATGATGTGTCCAAGAGTCAAGGAAGAAAAAGATATAAAAGCATCCAGTGAATTTAGTGACATGGAAGTCACTGATAGTAAGAGCAATAATTTTCCCTTTTAGATTATCAAAGATTAAAAAGATTGATCTTGAAAGTTACCAAGCTAATGAGAAATGGCACTTTCATACACTATTGGTGGACATGTAAAAGAATATACCACATTTTTGATAAGCAATTTGGGAATACTTATCAAACATAAAAAATATATAACCTCTGACCCAGAGATATTCTTCTAGAATATTATTCTAGATAATCATCCAACAGAAATACTGGTACCAGTGTGCAAAGTAAGTACGAGAATGATCAGTGCATCCATTTATGCAAAATTTGGAGCAGAAGGAAACTACATCATCAAGAGAAAATAGGAAGACTAAATTTAATGAAATACATTAAATGGATGCCTATGCAGTTGCTCATAAATGAAGTAGACATGACTATACTAACACAGAATGGTAGCCGACATAGTGAGCAAAAAATATATATATAGTCCTCATATTTATAAAATGTATACATAGACAGATATATGCATACACACTATATGACACAAATATATGTTTGTAAATGCATACATAAAAAGACAAAAATATAAAACCTTATGTCTATTAAATATTTGGGGGCAAAGGAGGGCTTTTACTTCTCTACTACTTGGATTTTTTTACAAGAATGTATTAGTTCTGCAAATTTTTAAAGATAACATTAAAAAATGCATTTGCTAAAAAACCAGTGTGAGATAAATTAGAATAGCCAGCTGTCTGATACCTTACCTTCTCTGAGTCAGGTTCTTGGCATAGGCTTTGCTGACAAAATCTTGGAGTTGAAATTTTGGGCAAGATGCTCCATCTTTCCCACAGTCTTCAAAGTGCACAGAGAGGAACAGTTCATTCAGAAGCCGCAGTGCCTGGGAGCAGGGCATTTCCTTTGCCGTGCAGATGTTTAGGGCTGCATAGAACACTCCCTCCAACCACTTGATGTTGAGGATAACTCCCCCTACACATAAACGAGAAGGGAAATACCAGTTCGCACCACCAAAAAGGTGGACCCTAGGACAAACCCCAGACAGCAAACAGCCACCTTTCTTCCAAGGCCAAGAGCCCTATTTGTGCCCTTTATAACAAATCATGTTGACCCTACTACAGGAAGACAGGCTTGACTAATGTAGACATTGCTAATGACAAGGGCATCTCTAGAAATCTCTAGAATGGTCCTTGCCAGTGAGGAAAAGGGACTAGAGAAAATGACAAAATTAAAGCAGGGAAAAGCCATGTAGTCCCAGACGCAGCATCCTCCTGTTACAACAGGCTCTCCCCTCTGGTTGTTTTCAATTCATCTTTAAAGGGTCTGAAAATCAGACTTCTCAGCTTTCACTAATAAATGCTGCTTTTTGCCACCAAAGCTGCTGCCATACAAAACCTAAATAGCTGAGAATGTATCTGGCTTGTACTCCCCCACCACACACACACACACACACACACACACACACACACACACACACACACACACATATTATAAAATAGCAACAGATCAAGAGGTAAGTCATTTCCAAAAAAGTGCCCAAAACATGGTAAGCTAGTACCAGCTGGACTGTAGGGGCAGGTAGCTTGAAGGATCACAGGATCTGGAGGGCAGTTGTGATTTCCTTATTGGCGCCCCAGATGTTGACAAAATCTTCACTACACTGGTATTGAGGCCGCAAGATACTGGTGTGGTTCAGCAGGAGTTTCAACCTGAAAGTAAAGCCACCAAGACTGGGAGTGCAGGGCTAGGACTGGTGTAAACCACCACGTGATCTGCCAAGTTCACTTCCAGCCCCAACAAATACTCCCCTGCAAGGCGCTGCTCAGAGGCAAACGTGGGTGTGAGTGAGTCGGTGCTGAGGGTGCTGCTTAGTAGTTGGGTTGTTCAGCCACGCACCTAGCAAAACACTTCCATAATGTTACCACGTGCCAGGCACCTGGCGGGACACCAAGGGTACAAAAATAATATTTGACACACACTCTCAACCACATTTTATGTTGTTGGTTGTTGGTTGCCCTTCTCACTGATGCACAAGGGGAACACTAGTCAGTCTCTAGTCGTGAGAAGCCATGCTCCATTGCAGTTCTAACATCACATCAAAGAAAATGTCCCGCCCACGAGTGCTGTTTGTGAAGTGGGTAAGACACAGTTAGAAAGGCTGGCTGAGTCCTCTGCAGAAGAAACTGCTTCCACCTCATTACTGAGAACGACCAACTCCAGGAAGTAGGGGCTGGGGTGGAGGTGGGAGGCAGAAGCCGGAAGCGAGAAGACAGCTGGTCAGCCAGTTTTGTGCTCACTCTAACAAAATACCTGGGTATTGGGACAGCAGCTACAAAGCTGTACACAGTGCAGGCTCTCTCAAGCCTGGTTTGAATTTCCACACAGATTTTAGGCAGCTGAGATGGCAGGCAGCAGAGGAATATGACGTTGGCCCAGCCCACCAGACGAGTGTTATGGTAAAAGCACTGGATTCCCAGTTTCTGAAGCTCATCTAGAAGGGATAGAGGAAGACAGATCACAGTACAAAGGAGTTTGACTTGGATATCAGTTGTGGGGAGAGGATGACAATTATTTTGTCTCAGGTCCTGTGACCACATAGAGATCCCCTCATGCCTCCTAAAAGACATAGAGCAATGCCCTGACCCCATTACTGAGGCAGCCAGGGCCACTACAGCAGCACTCGAGACTATATGATTATTCATTCCTCTCTTATTTGTAGACCAAGTGCTGGAATTTTTCAGATTTTTTTTTTTACAAAGAGAAAAAACCTGAAAGAAGCCTTCTGCTCCAATTTACTGAATAAAGGTTCATCATGTGCCAGGTAACCTACAAAGTAGATTCCATGCATTATCTAAAGGAATCCTCACAAGGAACTTCTGAGGCAGGAACTAGTAGTGTTCCTACATTACAGATGAGGAAATCAAGACTTCAAGAAGTTAGGCGACTTCCCCAAAATTATATAGCTGCCTGGTCTGAGCCTCATGGGGAAAGACTGAGAGCAAGGCTGGAAGGAGTTTGGAAAAAAATACTTACAGTTTCAGTAAAGTATACACAATTTCATGTTAATATTGATAAATGCAGAGAGAAATGTGACAACTCATATAGGTGCATAAAAACACTCATGGTACTTATCTGATACGGATTGTCAAAACTAAACATGTAAACTTGTGTATGGTTGTATATTATAAGTGTTGTTAGAAAACAGAATATTACAGACATTAGAGAAGTGAGTTCTTATCTTAAGCACCAAGAGTAACCAACAATTGATAAGTCTGATGTTGATTATCTGGGTCCTCATATACCTGGAAGATGGATAGGACAAAGGAGAAGTTTAGAAATCACGCACATCCATCCTTCTTTCATGTGTTGCTCTCAAAGTGGATAGAAGCTGATGCTGAGCATTTTGAATTTTTGCTTCCTTACACAACATGTAGTAATATTCTAAAATGGTAACTATATCCTTCTCAGTCAATCTCCTCAAGAGCAACTGCTGTTCTGATTTCTATCGCCACAGATTAGTAAATGGAATCATTACAAAATGTTTTTTAAAATTCAGTAAATGTAATTTTTAAAAACACAAGGCCAAATGTTTGGAACTGGTTAATACCCACTAGCCTCTAATTGGTCCAGTTAGAAGACCTGAACTCTGTTTAGAAAGCTTCTCTGTGTCAGAGACAGAAAGGTCTCCATAGGCACCGAGGGCACAGGGAGGAGAAGTGGACATAACCATTTAAATGAAGAAGAAAGGGTTTTTTTCATCTTGTTTTATTTTACTTAAAGTCAAAAGATTCATTCAATCTGGACAGAAATAGGAGGAGCATGAAAAGAAAATTGTTTTAAAGAACCAGTTGAACATCTTCCCGCTTTTGTCAGGGCTAGCAAGCTGAGAACTCCTTGTGCTGCGCTCAAGGATTCCTCTTTCAAGGGACCCTTTCAAAACGGCCCTTGTCAACACTGAAACAGCACACCCAAGCCCCCTTTCTATGAACACTGCTCCTCACCCAGGGCCTCTGGTTTCCGAGTGGAGATCCGCAGGCTTTCAGCAGGGATGGGGACAAGCTAAAGCAGCACACTAGCCAGCTGCTTCCCAAGGTGGCCACCTCCAATGGTGCCCACCTTCAACACATCATCACCAAGCGTGTCATCAGGAGCTCTAGTCAAGAGACATCTGGAAGATTGCTTCTCATGTAATGATTCTCTGGAGAATGAACACAGAGACACATAAATGCACACACACACACCCTGTAGCTCTTCTTGACAGTCAACCTCTAATGTTCTCTGCTTTAACTTTCTCATACAGCAGCCTGGTGTCACCTGAAGTACTTCAGGGATACGGCATTCCAGTTATGTGCCACTTATCCAGCATCACCAGGGAATGAAATGTTCCTCCTGAGTAAATTTTTCAGAAAGTTAACATGCTTCTTCAAAGGACCAAAATGTTTTAAAAATCCTTAAATGAACTTTTTTTTGACATGTATTGTGCATTTCTCTGCCTTCTTAAACACGAGGTCTGAATAGTTAATCATTTCTTTGACTCAGACCCTCATTAGGAATAGCCACTTGTCATTCGTCATCCTTGAACGCTGTGGGCCAGCTCCTTCACTGTTTCCTGTGCAGACAGCTGTCGATTTTCATTGCCATTAATATGAGCATACCGCTATCCTTACACCTACTCTTTCTAGTTTGCTATTTCAGTTTTGCACAGATCCAGGAAATTAGGTAACTTGGTATGATTTATAAAAGTTAAGTGATCTTTAAGGTAAAACAGACCTGAGAAATTGAGGATCAAGGATTTGAAGTGACTCTTTTCAGAGGTTTAGTTACTATTGGTTCTAGATGTGTTTTCTTGGCCCAGGATGATCAAAGTCTAATCTCTGAATACCTAAGGCATTGACTTATGTTGATATATGTCAGTCTTATATTTGTTCCATATTTCTGTAAAAATTGGAGTCTTAAAGCTCATGAGATTTCATATAAGCATCACAAGACACATTTGTCTTCTCTCTTGGTGGAAAGGAGAATGTTTTCTGGGCCTGATCATTCCAAATATAATGTATATCCTCGAAGTTTTATATATTGGTTTCTCACCACTCATCTTGGATGTAACCAACAAGTTATGTATCAGTTAGCCAATCAGCAAGTTCATTGAGCAGCCTGCCTTCTCGGGTATATGCTGTATGTATAACATGTTCAATTCAGATCTGGTTGCACCATCTAGGAGTTGAGCTAATCTCAGAGAAAAGTAGACTAAGGAGAGGGCAAATGCCCCTGGAGTAACCTAGAGCTACAGAATCCAGGAGCTTAAACCTAGATAATGGGTTTTCATGCACTTCTTATTTTAAGTATCTAAAGCCACATTGTATAAAGATATCAGGACTAGACAGACCTCTACAAATAGGAATTCCTGGTTTCATGCAAGTTACCTGGCCATAAGGACCCGAAAGTCCCAGGTGGCTTTCTTGCAAGGGAACATTCTGCTATTAGATCAGTCCCAAAAGAAACAAACAACCCCATGTTCAGCCAATAGCCATGGAATCAGTAGTCACTGATAGCTGTGCAACATGAGTTGGTGGTCCCAATGAGTGAATGAGTGGATGAATGAATGAATGATTTAATCAATCCAGCACCAAAAAATCACCACAAGCCATGCTTTATTATGTAACCATAGTCAAGGGACCCTGGTATGCATTTCCCTGGTACCTTCAGACTGGGAGTGATTGACTGTGGTTTGGAAAGGTAGGAAAACAATGTTATCTTCCAATATAAAAATCTTAAGTCATTTGGATTCTCTGAAGTGTGATTCTTCTCCACCTGACTGTTCTTGGAGACCTAGCTTACCTCAAATAGCAGAGTAGCTTGCAGAAGGTTGCATGGGCAAAGGTTTTGATCACCAGTCCCCGAGAACGACCCTGCAAATACAGCAAGCTGCGATCTTCCTCTTGAATCCCATACTCAAACTGCAGGGACTCGAGGTCTCCTAGCATGTCCATTTCCAAGCCACCATCTCCTGCAGTGACAGATACCAATCAGTTTGGCTCCCTGGGAGTCAAAGAATGAGGGTGTTTGTGCCCATCACAAATTCTCATGATAGTGGGCTGCAGCACCTCTCTCCTCCCGAATTCCGAACTTGCGTTCTCATGCAGTTCTCTAAGTGTTAAGTCCTGGAGAATTCCTGTGCACTGACTGCCCATGAATCAGAAATACCTGGACTCATGAAATACCAAACAAAATCCAAAATGATGTTCCCCCACATAGGCCATTGACACCCTTTTCAGCAGATGCATTTACATTAGCAATGGGGTTCACAAGTGCTCTTGGGCCAAGACCCTCTCTCTTCCATTTCCTCCTAGGTTTTAGAAATAGGAATGGACACTTTGACCACATTGCAAAGGCATTCTTCCCTTTCAGTAAATTCTGTGTTCTCCACAAGATAGAAAAGAGCCCAAACAAAATATCACATTCCTGTTGAGGGCAAGGACATCTAGATTTTAGAAAACGAAGCTAGAGATGTGTAAACCCATCTGCATAATCTCTTACCAACCAAACCGAGGAGATGGCTCTGCTCCTCAGTACTTCTGGTCATGGAGGGTAAGAACTACATTTCCAGATAGAATTACCCAAGAAGGTTGTCATTATGACTCCTTAGCTACCAGATTACTTCAGTCCCCAAGCCTTAAAGGGACCAACCCCACCTAGAGGTTTCCCTGACCTGCAACATGAGGAATTCCTTCCACTACTGGAAATGCTGCACCAGGGCAGCATGGGACCTCCTTTTCCCAACAGAAGAGTCAGGAGTTCTAGATTTTTGTGAGTAGAATATCAGATCTTAGTGCTACACTCAAGGAGTTATTTTTAAAACCCCTTCTTACTGTGTTCAAGAAATCAATGAATACAGTGAATAAGTTCTGGGGATCTAACATAACATCACGATGACTAAAAGTAATTATACTGTATTGTATAGTTGAAATTTACCAAGAGTGGATCTTACATGTTCTCACCACACACAAAAAGGTAACTATATGAGGTGATAGTATGTGATAATTAGCTTGACTGTAGCACTCATTTCACAGTACATATCAAATCATCATATACACCTTAAATATATACAGGTTTTGTCAATTTTACTTCAGTAAAGCTGGAATAAAATCAATGATATTCAAAACTATGTTTTACAGCGATGGCAAAATTGAGATCAGAATCCAAAAATATGGAAGTCTCTGATACACTTTTTAAATTAAAACAAATTTATTGAGGTTAAATTCATGTAACATAGCCATTTCAAAGTGATTAATGCAGTATATTCACAATGTTATACACCCACTACCTCTAGCTCGAACATTCCATTGCACCCAAAGGCAGGCCTGTCCCCATTAAGCAGTTATGCCCGTTCTCCCATCCTCCTTAGGCCTGCAACCAGCAGTCTGCTTTTTGTCCCTATAGATTTGCCTTTTCAAGATATTTCATATGAATGGAACCAGACAATATGTGACTCTTCATGTCTGGCTTCTCTAATCCTTTCATTGGAGGGCTGTTATGTCACTCTCAATCTCCTCAAAAACAAAGTCTCCAGCATTTGAAATGAAGAGCATAGAAGTTCTCATTGAGGCTAAGAAACACTTCCTTAGACCAAAACAGTGGGTAGGTCATCCTAATTTTGCAAATGGTGTTTCCTGTTCCAAAGGAGAAGTTCAAAGCCTCTCAGTTCAGCATGACCGATGCAGCATTGGTTAACTTGTACAAATGTGGTCTAGGCCCATCCTTCACTTACCATTCTCAGAAATGGGGACCCAGTGGTGGTGGCTTTGTACCATGTCAAGTTGGTTAGGCTGAAATAACATGTTCCAGAATTCTCTTCCCTGTGTTTCTGGCTAGGGTGTGCTATGAGCTTTTTGTGCAAGATCGGGAGCATGGAATTGAAGCAGCAGCCAGTTGGATTTATGCTTGCAAGGTTGGGGCAGGCACTTTGGCCGTCTGTTGGCAACCTCATTGGAGTTGGGCAGCAGTGGTTACCTTCCTCTGGATCCTCCTACAGCTTTCACACTCCCCAGCCAAGTGTGTGTTCAGCTCCGTGACAAAGACCACCAGCTAGCTCCTCCTGTCCATACCCACTTCATCAAGGCTGGAGGCAGTGAGAACTGACAGGGATCCCAGTCCATCTTCATGGGCTCTAGCTTGTCCTTGTTATCCCTCAATTTTTATCCATCTTCCCTTCCCTCTGCCTGCCCTGTGGATTTCCAGCTCTACCACCATACATAAAAACGAGCTTCCTGAGACTGTTTAACCAACTGCCATACTTACATAAGGCCAGATCCCTGTAGTGAATCCCACAGACTAGACAGAGAGACTATATATGCCTAGTGGTTCTGCCTCTCTAAGTGAACCCCAATACACTAGTTAATAAAGTTACCAGTTTGAAGAGCAGCCAAAATTTTAGCAGTTTAGCAAGTGAAACTCCTGTTTCCTCATCAGCAAAAGAGATGATTAGTAAAGGAAGAAAATATGAGGCTACCTGGAGTTGCAAAAGGGATTGCAAAGTGAAGGAGCAACAGATGGGATCTGACCCCCTGAAGGCAGGGCTTCTCAGCACTGGCATTACTGACATTTTGGGCAGGATGATTCCTTGTTGTAGGGGTCTGGTATTCACGTCGTAGGACGTTCAGCAGCATCCTGCCCTCTCTCCACTAGATGCCAGCAGCACCTTCAATCACAACAAAAAGCTTCTCCAGACATTGACACATCTCCTCAGGGGCAAAACTGCCCCCACTTGAGAACCACGTTGTCTAAAAGCATGCTGTGTGCCTCCACACGGGCATCTTCTCTTTCCCTCTTACCAATTCCCAGTCACAGGAACTCAGTTGCACAAACTTGAGAGAATCCTGCCCTCCTATTACAGATTAAGATAATGAGTCCAGAGAGAAAGGGTCACCCCACATCACACAGCTTGTCAGTGGTAGAGCTGGGACAAGAGGCCAGGTGTTCTGTCTCCCAATTTAGTGCTCCATTAGCCACACGGCCCTGCTTTGCCATAAGCACCATCACTCCATAACCTGACGTGTTGACAGGCTGCTGAATGCAGTCACTGAGGCAGATATGCAGTAGTCCTAAGAGTCGGGGCAATAATTTCATTGTTCTGTGCAAAAAACCAGGAGGGAAAGAGAAGGCACCAAGGAATAAACAGCTTTATTAGGAGTGTAACATGTCCAGGAAACCCAGTTCAGACATACAGAAGAGAGGCTGATACTAGTACAGGGCAGGAATCTAGCATTACAGAATATGCTCTTAAAACCAAGTGTGAAACTAAAACCTCCATTATAATATCCTAAGTCAGAAATGCTGCTGAGTTTAGCCCTGGTGAAACTTCTGGAAGCTCCCAGTGAAATGATGAGATTCACGTATGAAGGGAGAGCTCTCCAGCACTGCTGAGTCTGAGCTCCATACAGGGTTATGGGTCTGCGGTGGGAGAAGTAGTGGAAAAGATAACAGGGACGTTCTCCCCCCCAACTCAAGGCCATCTCAGTGTGCAGGTGAAAGAGGAACCACAGTTTTTTGGACAGAGGGTAGACTGGGGCAGCAGAGGGATGCTGGCTAAAGAAACACAATATCTGGGTAATCTCTGTCATAACGTGGAGGACCCTGTACAGTCTGGTGTGAGGGCACCGCCAGCAGGTCCTAGCAGCACTGGGATAGCATGAGGCCCTTCAGGAGACACCATTTTGATTCTGTTGACTTCATTCAAAGCAGAACTGCCAATGTCCAGCACCAAGTCCAGGGTCATAATCAGCTGAGAAGAACGGAGCGGCCACCCTACAACAGCCATTATCTTTATGTCTAGAAGACTTCCTTTCCAGAGCAGGCACTGTTTTCAGACCAAGAGAGCTTGCCCAGTATGGGCCCAATCTAGAAATTACTCCCACCTTCCCAAGAGCACCAGGTGGAGCGAATGTTTCTCACAAGTCAGAGCTCTAGATCTTGGCCCCTACATGACAGGCAGCCTCTGGACAGAAGGTCAGTCTGCAGCCGTCTGTGCCCAGGCGCAGGTTTCTGTCTGAAAAGTTGCAGGCACTGCCTGTTGATGGGCCCACGTGACAAGCGAAGTGATGCTGTATCTCTCCCAAGAAGAGGGCTCTCTGCTTCCCCAGGCAGCAGAGGAAAACATGAGGCAGGTTTCAGGGTAGCTAATGCCACTTAATTCTTCCACCGAATTTGCTGTGGAAAGAACACAAATGAGCAGTTTTCACTGACCCCTACAGAGAGGTAAAGGGAATATGAAAAAACAAGGCTCACAGATAGGTAACGTAAGGCAAAGAAGAAGGGATGGGCAGGTGGAGAAATTTCTGTTAACACGTGAGAGAGTTCATTTTTTCAAAGATGGATTAAACACCCATTCTGTATCTTACAGCCCTGATTTAAGGCATTTCATTCTGGTTCTGCCTTCCTCAGAACCAAGATCCAGTAGCTTCAGATGACCACAGATTAGGTCCCCAAATATCTAACAGGGAGCTAAGCTCCATATTAACAAAAAGCTCAGTAATTTGATGCTATGAGAGATGAGCTAGCTGTGTTCCCCAAAGAGCTATAATCTATTTCATCCACTTTTTATTTCCAACAGGTAGGTGGTCACATGCAGCCCCAGGAAACTAGTCTGGAGATACTGCCAGTAGTTAGTTCCTCCATACTTTTAACATAATCCAAGCATTGTAAGTTAAGTCTCAGCCCAAAGTCCCCAGATTCCACAACTCAGGGTAATTTCTGCTGCTCACAACAGTGCTTTTGACCTTTAGGTGCTCAGGAGATCCTTAGACCCACAGGCTCAGCTACCAGAAATCCCATCCAGACCTTGGGAATATAAAGTTGAGGCTGCTTTGTGAACTGTCTCCTAAGACTGCTGAAAGGGTAAGCTGCCACTACATACCGAACTGTTGAGAATGGCATTGATCTTCTCCTCTTCTGCAGATCCTTTATCCACCTTACTCCTATACGCTAGCAACTGCTGACGATCCTTTAGGTCCCGGCAAGTCTGCACAGCACAACAGACAACCATAAAAACCTCCTATCAGCCTTCTCGATGTGGGCCTTCTGCTTTTTGTCATTCCCACTTTAAGTCATAGTTCAAGGAGCAGCTAAGAGGCTACAGTGGGGTCAAGCACCCACAGAACTTCATGTTGGACAGACGTTTACAGAGGTTATGTGGCTTGACTCACTTCTACGGATTCTCTGAGTACAAAAAATTTATAAAAGCAGAGAGAAACCAGTCAGAGGGCTGGGAAATAATACAGAAGCGCAGTTCTCAAAACTCACTCTTACCAAACCATTTTGTCCATTAAGTCAAGAATGACAGAAGTACCTCAAGATCCAGGACAAAGAATATCACAACCCCCCACTCTCCACCAAGGGTCTAACTCAGGGCTCTCAACTGCTAGAGACTCACATCAATGACGAGATCATGGCACTTGAACTTGGTGGCTAGGTTCAACTTTGTGTCTACATCTTCTACCAGATTGACATACTCCTGTAGTATCTGTGAGGAGAGGTTACTTCTGATTAATGGTTCTCAGACCCATAAAATACAGCTCTAAAAGGTACAAAAAAATCAGAAAGCAGAAGAGTTAATATCTGATGTCTGCAATTCCCATCACCAGCCAAAGGACTAGTTCTGAATGGGAATGAGGTGGATTGTGCACTGCTTCCAAGCTCCCCCGGTAAATGAGGGAAGAGCACATTCCTCCTTATCCTAGAGCTAGATGCCCATGCCAGCAACAGGTGTGCTCCAGATCTGACCCAGTGCTGTGCCTAGAGCACCCCAATTCCCTTCCAGTGAGGTCTCCTTCTGTATCACTGTAGTCAACAATGTATGTATGTCACTAAGAGTGCCATCAACAGTATGTCAGCACTCTACCCAGGGAGGACAGTCTGGGATTACTTCTAAGAGCAGAAGAGCACTTTCCTCCCTGGCCTTTTCTATCTCCAGGTCCCGCAGAACCATTAAATTGCCTTAATGATAAGACCAGAGCAGGTGAAGTCTCCCATCACTGATCAGCAGGAGGCTAAAAGTTAGGTCTCCTAAAGATCCTGCCTACCTCTCTCAGGAGCCCTTACCTGGACAGGGGCACTGTTCTTGTGCAAAATCTCTACGACCCGATGGAAGCCAATGGGTGCTCTCTTCTTCGTATAGCCCAGCCAGTTCTGAAAAAGAAAGGGAGGCAGCAGTAGCTAGGCTAGATATATGCAACACACTCTGAGCTGGTCTTCCTACATCTTATGGTCAGCCTAGAACAACGTGGAGGTGAGAGTAGACGGATGGGAGGTGGGGAATAGAGAAGAGAGGAGAGATGAGCTTTTCAGAAAGTCAAGGAACTTAAAAGGGCGGAAAAGAGTCAGAGGTATGAAATAAGTTCTTAGATCTACAGGCAGAGAAAGTCTGTGAAACACAGCTAAATGAAATAAACAATTTATTTAATACTTGCAGTATGAACTTATCCTCTTTATATTTATATATAGATGTTTGTTTGTAAATTCATGAAGAAAATTCTAGAAAGCTACCCAGCAAACCTGTAAAGGTGTTTGCCTTTAAGAAGGGGCTAAGATGGAAGCAGGTGGACAGTGGAAGGGAACTTCACTCTCACTCTCTCCACTTCCACAGTGTTTGATTTTGACACAGGTATGTACTGCTTTGGTAGTTAATGTACCTAATTAAATAATTAACAAAGGGGGAAACAGGAAAATCCTCAAACCCGTAATGAAAAAATGGATATTTACAATGTAAATCAACACAGATATGACAATCAATTGTAATGCCAGATCTTGATTGGCTCATGTAGGGAACAAACACGAAAACAAACAAAAAACAGCCCTAGAGAATTAACTTAAATATAGATTATATATGTGATGATATTATTATATTAACACTAAATTTCTTGAGTGATAATATAGTGGTTGCAAATGAGATCAATGCTTAAGTATCATGATGTCTGCAACTTACTTTCAAACGGTTTAGGAAAGGAAAAAAGCATGTCTGTGTATAGAAAAGGAGAAAGCAAATATGGCAAAATGCTAGTAAATTAAGTGTTTGTTATACTATTCTTAGTATTAAGTGTTCTTAGTGTTCATTATACTATTCTTTCAACTCTTCTTGGGTTCCAAATTTTGCAAAAAACGTTTGAGGAAAAATATAAACCAGTAAGTAGGCCCTGAGTCTCCCACGAGGCATGGGATAACAAGATAATGGCTCCAGGCATCAGCAACGCCAGTCAGTTCCAAGGCACCCACCTTTGTGGTGAACAGGGCATCTACATCATGCCAGGCTCGAAGCTTGGCGCGAGCAGCCAGGGCTGTCAGCACATACTGTTTGTCTGGGATCTAGAAACCAAGAACAGGGAAGTTAAAGAGCAGGAGAAATGAACCAGGAGAGGTGTTTCAGAATTCTGGAAAAGATAGGTAAACATATTCCCTGGTATTGATTCTTCTCCTTAAGATGCATGAATCTCTCAAGTCAAGAAGAACTTAATTCCCAAGCCCCAGTATTGCTGCATGCCTTTGAATTAAAGCTTCCTGTCACTTCCCACAAACTCATTCCTTTCAACCTTTAACCTTGAATATTAAGGTACTTCCTGTGCAGGGTGATAAAGCAACAACTACTCTATGTAGCTACCCTGATACTTTACCAAATACTGACCAAGGTATATCTACCTTAAATGTCTTCTTCAGGTTGACTGGACTGCTGAATGTCCCCTACAATCAAAGTGGAGAAGGAATTTTAGTGTGTTAGACTTTACTAAATACCATCCAATTTCCCTTTTCCACTACCTAAACATTCTACACTTCACTCTGTAACCATTTCAAGCCAGAAATTTAAGAGAAAAGCTCTACTGGGTCTCACTGGATCCCACCACAACCTGGCTTAAAGGAACTGGATCAGAAAGTATGGTATATATTTCTTAAATTTATGCTAATCCTATGATCATTATGCTCATGTCCACCTACCTATGATCATTAAATTCAAACCTCTTCAAAAAAAATTTTTTTAAGTACCCACAGACACCTAACACCCTGGCCAGCTGCTCCTCTTCTCACATGGTGAGAATCCATTTGCAAGTCTGGGCCTTTGATCAGAGACTGCTATGGAACCAGCACTGCTGAGACAGAATGTACTACGCTAGCATGCCAGCTCACCAGAGCCACGCAAGCCCTTACAAATCTTTTTCCCTCTTGGCTCATCCTTGCTGGGGGCCAGGAAGGCTTCCAGGTGGATTTTGAGAGCTATGCACACCCTTTGTAAATAGAGTACATTGAAGTACTGACTTTGAACTAGGTTCCTCATGTGCAATGAGTGTCTGGGACATTCCTTACACATTTTGCTTGTACCTCAGCTTCCATGTAATGATAGAAGCAGGAGTAGAAAAGCGTTGTCACTAGTGGCATGTTGAGGATGGAAGCTTTGCGGGGGTGCTTCCGGAAGATTTCAGTCTGTCCTGCTAATTCTAGATGTCGATCATTTGCCTGTGGTGGAATAAGCAAAGGGAAAAATAGGACAATGTCCAAGGAGGAGCAGGAGGCGAGACCTTTAATACTACAGTGGCTGTGTTTCTACTCTAGGTAAGAGATAGAAAAAGAAAAAGACAGAAAATGCCTAGGGTAGCCCAGGGGAGTTTAAAATCCGTAAAATGATAATAGATCCAAGTTGGATGGAGGTAGACCAGAGAGGCAGAGATGAATTGGGAGTTCTGGGGTGAAGAAGAACTACTTCCAGGTTAACAGCAGATGGAAAGAAAAAGGATGCCTGAGAACAAGAGAGGAAGGGGGCTATCAGGGTGAGAGAGAAAATGAAAGGCTGTTAGAGAACATGACCGAAAAAACGAACTAGATGGCTATGGCCCTGAGCAGTGGCACTGAAGCAGAAAACGTAGAGATGAGGAGTCTAACCTCAATAATGATCTGACGTTCCAGAAGCGTGTAATGGTCTTGTATATGTGCAGAATCTTCTGCTGAAAATGGCAAACTGGTAGAGGGCCAGAAGGTTAGTACTTCCTTTTCTACTCAAACAGGAAACAAATCACCACTGTAAGCATAAGAGGCTCATGGTGCTTTACAAATCTGATCTTAATTCACCTTTAAAGCATCCCTGAAAGGCAGAGAGACACAGAAAGCAGCAAACAGCAGACCTTTATTGGGATTTGGTATTTAAAGTTTTGCCAACTCAAGAGTGATCTTGAAAGTCCACAGAATATATGCAGTCATTAGGGATTTTGCTGAGGAATGAATGAGAATCCTCTCAGTGTGGGAGCTGGAATGTTTGATGAGTCACTTAGCTAGTGAGAGAGCCTAGCCACCTGCCCATCATCCACATCCCAGTGAAGCACTGTGACTCCTGTCATTGTTAAATGTCAATGCTTAACTCACCTTAAGAGACACTTGCATTTATTAGCCATTTCTTATTGCCGAATAATATGGTAAAATTAAATTACATGGCATGGTGGTACATTTGTACATTGGTAAAGCTCTCAAAGATCTACACAAATGTCAAGGGCCCCAACTTCAGCACTATCTTCTATTTTCACACATGAAGAAGTTGAGGTATAAACAGTGTCTTACCTGAGAGTCACACATACAGTAAGTCAATAGGTAGGGCCAGGAATAAAGGCCAGATTTGTAACTCCCAGTTCACAGATCTATCCTTCAGCAAGTGCTGCCTTATTCCTCCACTTCACTCACTCCAGGAAGAATTGCAAAATTCCATTACACTATCCCAGATAAGTGTGAGACACAGCCAATTTTTAGAAGAAATAAAGGGACAGAGCTATAGGTTCCAGCTATTTTATCATTCCAACTTTTCTCTTTGTTTACCAGAGACATATGATACAGCTCAGTATTTGATAATGTTGAAATTAAGGACAGCATTGATATAAACTTCTAAATGTGAAACCTGGAAATCATGTCACATGAGAATGAATAAAACAGCTGTGAATACTGAACCTGTAGTAAGGCCTACCGGGAAGACTCTGCACCTACCTTGAAAGACACAGGGAAGCAAGTTTCAGCTCAGCCTAACAAAGCACTTGCTGATAATGAAGGCTGTCCAACAAAATAAGCTGCTTCCAGAAGCAGAGTGCCCATTACTGGAAGAATAGTATGTGAGGCTAGTTTTAAATGGGCTCATACTGTGGATAAAAACCTGAACTGAATCAGTGACCTAGGATTTTGGGGTTTCAAGGACCAGTGACACTGAAAATAATATGTAAGGCAAAGTGTTGCTGACTTTTTTAATACATGAAGTCACAAAAATATTATAATCCACCTTATTATCAAAAAGGTGGGGAAAGGAAGGGAAAAACCCAAGAATAAAAGGTAGTCTTTTAAATTAAATTGATTTAGCTTTATGAAAACCTTTTTATATTATCTTTACTTTTCTCAATTTACCCCCAATGAAAACTCTACCAAAGTGGAAGCACTGAGACTAAGATGATCTTTAATGATGCTTGTATCATCCACTGTTAGCCCTTCCCTTCAACTATCTATCCATTCCACTCACTTTTAGTGTCTTCATTCCTCTGTATAAGAGCATTTATACTTAAAAACCTTTCTCCCCTATACTCACCCAATGCAGCTCTTAAGAAATTCTTTTCGTTTCTCAGGGTCCTGAATGTTCAAGTGCTCTCGATAATGGGATAACTAAAAAAGAGAGAAAGGCTTTGAGCTATTTTGTCTCCTTAGAAGGGTGAGGTACCTCCATAAGTAGAATTCCCTTGAAAACTTAAAACCTAAATTCTTCATTATCAAGATTCCTCTGGGTGTGGATGGGTGGGAAGGAGAGCAAAGAGTGATTCAAAATTACTCTGGTATATCTATCACTGCACTATCCAATACAGCAGCCACTAGTCACATTGGGCTTTTTACATTTAAATTAATTAAACAGAGTTAAGTTAAAAATTCAGGCCCTTAGTTGCACTAGTCACTTTTTAAGTGCTCAATAGCTACATGTGACTAGTGGCTACCACCCCATCAGAGAGCACAGATACAGACTACTGCCATCATTGTGGGGACTTCTATTGGACAGTCCTGACCTATAATGAAGCACTAAGTAGATGGAGCACCTGGCTGTACTCAGAGGTTTGGCTTTCGCCTCAGTATTTAACCAAAACCAGCTTTTGCTTCAGCCTTAGCCTTTGAAAGGCAAAAGAGCTAAATGCCTACTTCAAAGTTATTTTGGGCATCCTTGACCTTGTACATGATCAATGGTAGTCTGATCCCATAAACAACATCATTAACACAAATAGGGCATGTCATTCCAATTCATTGTTGACAGCTAAGTAATCACATTCAAACACCACAGGTTCTTCATGTGATTCTGAAGTTTCCTTACGTGCTTTTTATTTTGAAATTCTAAAAAAATGAACAAAAGCTTAAATGACTGCTATTACAAAAGTTAAATGTGATAATTAGTGATTGCAAAAGTTGCAATTTTGTATGCAATTATTAAACTTCCCAAAAATTAAAAAAACAGACTGATAGTTAATATGACTATTAAGAGAAAGAACTGGCTTTAGGAAGAACACCATATCCTTTCAGAGACAACAGATATGTATAAAAATGTAAATGATAATATAAAACAGAGTAACTGAGATTATATTAAACCATAATCTTTATAAAACATTTGGTGTTCCATTTTGGCCTTGAGTCTTAAAAAAAAACAAGTCCTACTCAGAAATTCTTCATAGTCTATGAAGATAAACTAAAAGTAGACTGTCAGTTTTGCTATTACCAAGTTTACAGGGTAGGAGAGCTCCAAATTTATGTGCAACAACTGTATGATAAATCATCTTCAATTCAAATGTAAAAGAGAATATTAAGATAAGAAATTTTAGATTAAAATGAGCTATCCAAAACTTCATTGATCAAACTTCAAAACAAACTTTTAAGAATGCTGTATGAAGAAAATTCCTTACAGTTTTAAACCTATGGAGATTAAAAATGGAAACAAAAAGCTTTTTAAAATGATTGTTAAGACCTGCCATCATTTTGAGTATATTAGGATAAAGGACTTCTCTAAGATTTTTTCCATGACTTGAGTATTAACTGCAAGTTCCTTTTATAAAATGTTACTGAAAAACATCTTCCTGAATTATACAGCCTGTTGTGCAACGAGTATTAACAGTATTATTAAATGTGCCAGCTGAATGTGAGCATCACTACTACCACAGATGCACCATACAGTGATGGAAGGACCAATCCTGCCACTGATGGCGCTGAGAAAATCTTATCCCTGCATTGTAATGTCAAACTTTTTAAATGGATCCCTAAAGTTTTAATAATACAATGAAGTACCTGGTAAAACTTCAGATATATTCTTGCATACCAGGCATTTATTCTATAATGGTGAAAATCTGCCAAATATCAATTTTTAATATTCAATCATTGAGCTCAAAATGTATATTGGGTGCACCACCAGGTTGACCCATCTTCCGTCATGACCTATACCTGGTTACCTATACCTGGTTTCTTTTCCCCTTAGCTTTCAACATTTTCTTTACTATTAGAAGCCAAAACCCACAAGCTCCTACAAGCCAGAAATTGAAAATGAATAGAAACAAAAATAAAAATTACAAACTGAACAAGCTAGTTTTCATCTATTCAAAAAGCACTTATTCAAAAGCCCAATCAAAAGGCCATATAAGAAGAAACAGATGAACAGTGACTGTAATGGGGTATGTGGTGGGAACTTGATAATGGGGGGAATCTAGTAACAACAATGTTGCCTATTTAATTGTATATTAATGATTCCAAAATAAAAAATTTTTTAAAAAAGAAGAAACAAACAGTACATTATTGGGATTAAGTTCTCAGGCTTCCCAGGGCCCCTCTCTTCTGGATATAATCAACATACAAGGAAGGGAAATAGTTCAATCAGTCTGGGATCTGAGAGGCTGGGGTTCTGGCTTAGATTCCTTTAAGTAGGTCCCAAACTGAAACAAAGGCCACACTTACCGCAAGCTCTTCTGTCCTATCTAGGAACCTGGGAAGAAGCAGAAGGGAGCAGGGTATGTTTATCTATTGCAGTGTGGCAGGAATACCTCACAAAGCAGGGTGACTGTTCTAGGAGAAACAGTTCAAACCCATCTGCCTCTAGATACAAGACAAGCTCTTCTCTCCTTAGACTTTCTACTACTAGCAACCCTTTAAAACCCATAGTGGATCGACTATCATTGTTCCTCTGCTCTCTCTAGCTGAGCAAAAAGCAAGAATAAGAAGACACTGCAGGGCACTAATAATTTTATAACCTTAACTGTCAGGTCTGACAGAAAGGCTCTGTCTCCATACAACCATAGCTCATAGTAATCTTACGGGGGTTTTGAAAGATTAAAGTACTCTTCTCTGTCAGCACAATCTTGGAAACAGATTTTCTGTATTGTTCTCTGTTGTTTTCATGTTATAGTATACAATGTCTTCTGTCTCTTTCGAAAGGTGGTAAGGCCTTGGAGAACAGGCCTTTTGCCCTGTACTCCTTAGTCTGAATGGACCGCTATAATTAACACCAATACTTTGACATACATGCTTCATTAAGTCTTGTTGATTGGAAAGGGAGAGAGGAAGGAAAAGCCTACCTCAATGAACATGTCTTTCACAAATTCTTACAAAATCTGTAATCTTTACTCTAACCAGGTGACCTGCTTTCCCCACTTAGTCTTTAGGGAAGCTCATTACTGTGCTGGAGTCACTGGGTAAAGGCATTACCTTGCGCCACATGGCAGCCTAAAGAGAGGTTCCAACCCCTTCCCTGACACTGAAGAAAGAACTTAATACACATATATTTTAATCTAAGGGCTGGGAATAGTCCCTACTCATCAGAATGAGATAGGGAAGGAAAACATGATAGAAGACAGCCCCCTGCCCCCAGGCAGGGAGAATCCTACCTCGCCTCTCACAGGCCCACCGCAGTTCCCTACTGCTTTCATGAGGCTTCCCGTGGGTACCCTGACAGAAAACTATATAGTTGCCTCCTCTGCTCTTCCACTGGCATCACGGGGGACCAAGTGATCAAAGATACCCTTATTCTAGTTCTTTCATAAGAAAATGCTTAATAAATACTGTCAATACTACAGACTAGGCATTATGCTGATGCCTTATGTACACTCTTTTAATCTTCACAGTGACCCCGTCGGAGAGGTATCATCACCTCCATTTCACACATATGAACACTGATGCCTGGAGAGGCTGGGTAACTTGCTCAAGGTCACTCTGTGAACTAAGCATTGAATACCAGTGTGGTTCAGACTCTACAGGCTGATTCCTAGCTTCCTGCTACACTCTCCTTATCACAGGCTGTGGTACATTATTAGTTATCCCATCACACTTTGTTTCTTGTCTAGTAAGCATTTCTAGAAAAACAAGAGAGTGTCTTCTCTTTCTTTGTATCCCCCAGAGTACTTCACACAAAGCACTTAATAACCTCTATAGATCAGATATCAGTTCTTACCTGAAGAGGTCTAAAAGCAGCTTTTGATCCCCTATTTCCTTAAGGAAGTGGATGAGATGTCTCAGGGCAACCTGTCGCAACTCCAGCTCTCGGAAGAGGACCTCTGGCAGGCAGGAAGGAGTCAGATGGGGAGAGATTAAAGTGTGAAATTGTTCTCACTACTCACACATTCTAAATACTCTCTCTTCCAAGTTGATCAGAAGTTAGGAACCCATCCCTATGGCTCAATCCACCATCAGCATACTCCACGGCCCAGGGCACCTCTAAGCCACTGAGTCGGCTTTCAGTTCCCACCAACCCAAGCAGCAGGCACTCAGCGTGGACTCTGACTTCCTCAAACCACACAGCCAGCTGACTGTCCAGTGACTAGCGGGGCTTTGTAGCTAATGTAGTTAACACCCTTAAGAGTGAAACTGCCCCCAGAGATGTGACACATCTCAGGTCACCCCAGCTGTTTCTGAAGTGGACCTGATGTTGTGAATTCTGGTCTGAAAGCCCCAGTGACATTCTCCCTTCAAATGTTGCAGACTGAAGATTTCCCTCAAACCATATTCACCTTTGCTCAGTGTCCTCTTCAGGAAGATCAGAACCTAGAGGAAAGAGAACAAAAAATGAATTACCCTGTGTAACCTTTCAACCACAAAGCCCTGCCATAAGCTCCTTACATCTAAGAACAAGGTCAGCAACTAATGAGGAATCTTTGCAGGTCCAGACAACAGATTTCTCTACATGACAGGAGGATGGGTGATGGACATCTGGAACTGAGCCGTGTCTTGGGAGTCCGCAGGCCCAACACCCACAGTGGCGAGAGACGCCTCCCTCTGAGACTGCTCTCACCTCTCTCCTCCCTCAGATTATTTTTTAGAACACAGAATAGCCAACCTAGTACGTCTTGGTTATGATCAAGAGTTCTACACACAATGCATGTCCTGCCAGCTGAGACTTTGAGCATGTATTACTAAGAATCCTACACTTAAAGAGGAAATCCAGGATCTTTACTTGACATTTAACCCAAAATGTTAAAGTCTTTGCTGAATGGACTTTCAGAAACAAATGAAAACACCAATTTCACAAACAACAAACAGAGCCTACAACTCACTGCAGTAATGACGTTTCCATCATGCATGCTCACTGCTTCTTCTAAGAGTTGTAGCTTGTCCTGCAGGGAGCGGAATCTTTCTAGCGAGCAGACCTGGCAACATAAGGAAAGAATTAGTATGTAAGGAGGAAGACCATTTCCTAGATTCCTTTGTCACTGGATACTGAAGAATGGGCAAGAATGAAAGGAACTGTCCCCAAAGAGACCCTCTTTATTTTTACACTACAGTACAGTGCCCCACACTCTATGAGACAGTAGATTCCCACCACCTGCTCTAGTCCAGCCTTATGCCCTAGAAGAGCTTATGTCCTGATGAAGTCTTGCCAAAGCCAACGGGTAAAAAAGATCACTTGTTCTCTTTAAGGTGGTATAATTTACATACTATAAAACCTACCCTATTTAAGCATACAGTTCAGTGTTTTGACAAGTACATACGTAATTCCAGGTAATTACTATCATAAGATACAGACTGTTTCCACCACTTTGTCATTAATACCCTCCTCCAATCCCCAGCCCCCTGGCAACCACTCATCTGTTTCAGTCACTAACGTTCTGCCTATTCTAGAATTTCAGAAAACTAGAATCACACAATATGTACCCTTTTCTATCTGGCTTCCTTCACTCAATGTCATGTTTCTGAGATGAACCTATGTATTGCACTGATTATTAGTAGTTTGTCTCTATTTACTGGTAAGTACTTTTCCATTGTAAAGATAAACCACAATTTTGTTATCAATTTACCTACTGATGGATATTTGGGTTGTTTCCACTTTGGGGGCAATTATGAGTAAAGCTGCTATGAACATTTTATTTGTGTTCAAGTCTTTGTACAGATATGTTTTCATTTATCTTGGATCGTAAATGCGTAGGGGAGAAATTCAGTAACATACTGAACTTTGTAAGAAACCACCAGACCATTTTCCAAAGCAGTTTTACCATTTTACATTCCTGCTCACAGTTTATGAGTTTCAGTTCCTCCATAGTTTCCCAGCGGTTGGTATGAGTATTTTTAAATGTAGCCATTTTAGTGTTGTAGAGTGGTATCTCAGTTTTAATTCACATTTTCTTGTTAACTGATATTGGGCATCTTTTCAAGTGCTTATTGGTCATTCATGTATCTTTTTTGTGATATAACTGGTCAAATCTTCTGCCAACTTTCTCATTGGGTTGTTTATCTTCTTATTACTAAAGATAATTCATGATTTATATGTTCTAGATAAAAATTCTTTACAGGTTTTTACAAATAATTCTCCCAGCTTATGGTAGTCTTTTGATGTTTTTAACAGTGTTTTCAAAGAGCAAATGTCTTTAATTTTGATGAAGTCTATTTTACCAAAAATTTTTTTTTATTCATATTTTTTGTGTTCTTAGGTAATAAATCTTTGTCTAACCCAAAGTCACAAAGACTTTCACTTATATTTTCTTCTAAAAGTTCTAGAGTTTTAGCTCTTATTTCATTTAGGTTTATGATCCATTTTGACCCATTAATTATTATGATGTCAATACTCCCAAAAGTCAATCTATAGATTCAATGCAATTTCAATCAAAATCCCAGCAGGTCTTTTGTAGACACTGACAAGCTGATGCTAAAATCTGTATGGAAATACAAAGAATAGCCAAACAATTTTGAAGAACAAAGTTAAAGGACTTATATTACCTGATTGCAAGATTTACCACAAAATTATAATAATCAAAGCTTTTGTAATGGCATAAGGATTGACAAATCAGTGAACTAAAATAAAGACTGCAGAAATATACCTATAAATATAGGGTCAACTGATTTTCAAAGAAGCACCAAGGAAATTCAATGGGAAAAGGATAGTTTTTTCAACAAATAATGCTGGAACAAATGGAGAACTACATGGGGAAAAAAAAAAAACCTTGATGCTGACCTGACACCATATACAAAAGTTAACTTACAATGGATCACAGACCTAAACATAAAAGATCACTCTCACTCTTGAATGTATTTTTCCCTCTGATCCCAATTTTCCCAACAAAACAACAATTCTGTAGAATCAGAAACTTTGCACCTGAAGTGCTTACTGGATTTATTTTCATTCTGATAAACCACTTCATTTAATAAACAGAACTAAAGAGAAAGGTCAAGAAATCTTCCCTGTGGGAACAAGCTGCCCAGCATCCCAAAAAGTCCCACAGGAATCTCTCTCTGGTGGCCTTACCTTGCCCTTCTGAAGGCGTCGCACTGTGTCACTGAGGCTCCAGTCATTGCTGTAATCCTGGAATATCAGCAACACATGAATCCCAGGAAGTTAAGGGATCAGAGTTACCAGTGTGTCACCTCCTAACCTCAAACTCACAGTCTTAGTCCACAAAGGGGAAGTATTTTGTGTGAAGGAATGGATGAAAAAAAGAAAATGAATACCTGGGATGGTCATGTTCTGAGTTTCTGAGTTTCTGAAGGAACTAGAGCAGAGACAGTCCAGGCAGGAGATGGATCCAAGAGGAAATGAACCAACTCACAAAACCAGGAACCTATGCCTACTTCTTCAGAATTTCAACTCCTAGATGCAACTAGTCACACTGTGGGACTCTAAATGGCTTTGCTGATAAAAGGAAAGAGGGAGACATGTTCCTTTACTGCACCTTTCGATACAGTTTTTTCCTTATGAATCAATTTGTTCTTTTATGTGCCTTATGGGCATATGAGCTCAACCAAGCTTCCCAACCACACTGATGATCAAAAGCTTCAAAGTACAGCCTTCAAAAGGTAATATAACAGGAAAGGAAAGTGAGCTAGGAAGGAATAAGAAAACAGATTTTGAGTCCTAGTTCCACCAAGTAAGACTCCAGGCAAGCCCTAATATTTAAAAATCCAGTTTTCTTATCTATAGTAGGTGCTCAAAAAGCACCAATTGGCAAGATCAAGCAAGATAACAAATGTTGAAGCACTTTAAACTGTGTAATGCACCACACCAGTGTACAATGCAGCTCACCCTGTATTCCCCTTTGGGTCTCCCTAGCTCTGGAGCATAGCTTTTGGCAGGCGTGTCCGACAGAGCTGAAAAAGAACAGGCAGCTGGTTCAGAAGGACACCATGTTCTTGACATTCCTTTCCTCTACTGTTTCCTTCTCACACACATTTTTTGAACTTGTGGGCTCCCAAGACATCTTTATGGCCCAGAGCAGATCTCAGTTCCTCCCCAAAGACAGCATACCCGAAAGTCACCCTTTGCCCCTGTAGCCAGAATAATCTTTGCCTCATTACTCAGTATCAGAAAATTTCTCTAATAGTGGTAGTAGATTCAGAAATCTCATCTAATCATCTAAATCATCACCCGTGACTGCCCAGACTGTCCCCAAATCAGTAACATCTCCCACAGTAATCAAGAGAAGAGAGGCAATGCCTACCATCAGAAAGTGACTGAAAACTTCCAGGTCTAGTTCTCCCTAGAGGTAAAGAACATACATGGGAAGAGATTCAACAGTTCAAGTCAGAGCCATCAACTTTGGTTAAGAACACAGTGTGTGTAGAACCTTTTTGCAATATGGGAAATGAAGGCTTGAAAAAGCTCTCATTCAACTTCAGAAACTTGAGGTACCAAGAAAAAAAAGGCAGGGAGAAAAATTCTTAAATTTTGGTGAAATATACTTAACATAAACTTTACATTTTTACCAATTCTAAGTGTTCAGTTCAGTAACACTGAGTATATTCACACTGTACAACCATCACCACTATCCATCTCTAAAACATTCTCATCACCTCAAAGTGAGACTCAGTCCTCATAAACACTAACTCCCATTCCTCCTTACCCCCAGTCCCCGGTAACTACTATTGTATTTTCTGTCTCAATGAATCTGAACTATTCTAGGTGTCTCACAAAAGGGGAATCATACAGTATTTGTCCTTGTATGTTTGACTTACTTCCTTAGCATAACGTCTTCAAGGTTCATCCATGTTGTAGCATGTATCCAAATTTCATTCCTTTTTAAGGTTGAATAATATTCCCTTGCACATACATACCACATTTTGCTTATCTATTTATCAGTCAATGGATAACTGTGTTGTTTTAATATTTTGGCTATTCTGAATAATGGTGCTATGAACAGTGGTATATAAATATCTGTTCAAGCCCCCACTTTCAATTAGTTTTGCTATATATCTACAAGTGGATTGCTGGATTCAAATGATAATTCTGTTTAATTTTCTTAAAGAACTGCCATCCTGCCATCCACAGTGGCTATATCATTTGACATTCCCACCAGCAGTGCACATGTGGAGGGAGGAATTATGATGTAGGCAAATTTCTTCAGTACCTCTCATAGAGTTAATGTCAATTTTGTTTATCATGTTCTAGAAACCCAGTCCAACCCCTATTTCTCTCATTTCTCCCACCTCTAATCCCCAACTGCCAGATTCAAGGGTAATCCTTTATCTTTCAATAATCTTTTTCTTCTAAATAAATGAAAATTGTAGCCTGAGTGTTTTTTTTAATGAAGAAAAGGAGGGCTCCCTGTCCCTTTAACCAACACACTTTACCTCTAAAAAAGCTGCTCAGGGAGTAGGTAGAAGAAGGTTTGGGTAGCTGTGTATAGGAGGAGAAGCTGTTTCGGCTTTTTAGCTGTTCACGTCCCTCAAGGTTTGACCCACTATTACCAGCAGTCTCTTTGATGGACCATGAGATACCTGCAAGAAAATAAAAATGAAATCGATCATTCTCATCCAAACTATTCTCTTGACATCCAGCATTCCAAATACTTTAAAAGCTTTTCACCAGTGGCCCTGGTCCCTTGTCAAAATGGACTTCAATAATTGGGGCATGGAGGAAGGATAGAATCAAAGACTAATCAACAGAAAAAGAGGCAAAGATAATGACACAGAAAAGGACACTCAAACAGCTATTAAACATATGAACAGATGCACAACCTCACCCTTAGTAGAGAACTACACAAAGCAAAAGTATGTTTGGATGCCATCAGCCCCCTGTAAGACGGGCAAAGATCCACCACTGAATAATAAATACCCTTTGTTGGCAAGGCTGTGAGGAAACAGGAACACTCCAATATTGTTGGTGGGAGGACAAATGGGTACAAGCCCTGTGGAGGGCAATTTGGAAGTATCTGACCAATACAGATACAAATATTCTCTGCAAGGAATTCCACTGCAGGAATTGATCCTTTGAATACACATATATGGGCAGAATACAAGGTTACTGATAGCAATATAAACAACAAAGATTGGAAAAATCTTAAGTTCATCAATAGTGAACTGGTTAAGTAAATTTATGTTAAATGCATACAATGTGACACTATGCTGCTATTTTTAAAAAAGAAACAATGAAAAGGTTCTTTCTCTACTGATATAGAGTTGTATCATCAAGTAAAAAGAGCAGGGTATAAAATATGCTACTACCCCTGGTGTAAAAAATGGGGTATATGCATTTCCAAGTGCAAAAAGAATCTTTAGATGAATACACAGGAAGCAAACAACAGCAGCTGTTTTTTGGGAGGGCAGAGCCTGAGAACTGAACAGATATATGACACTGTGGGAGGGAAACATTTCACTGTACACCTTATATAGATCTTTATTTTGAAATTATGTGATGGTCTCCTATTCAATAAAAGCTTTAAAAAATATTCATAAAAATCAGATGTACTGAGGCAGAGCCAAGATGGCGGCATGAGTAGAGCAGCAGAAACCTCCTCCCAAAACCACATATATTTTTGAAAATACAACAAATACAACTCTTCCTAAAAGAGAAACCAGAAGACACAGGACAACAGCCAGACCACATCCACACCCGCGAGAACCCAGCGCCTCGTGAAAGGGCTAAGATACAAGCCGGCCTGGCAGGACCCGAGCGCCCCTCACCCAGCTCCCGGCGGGAGGAGAGGAGTCGGAGCAGGGAGGGAGAGGGAGCCCAGGACTGCTAAATAGCCAGCCCCAGCCATCTGCACCAGAGCTCAGACACAGTGCGTGCGTGGGGTGCTGGAAACTAGGGAAACAGGACAGTAAGACCTGTGAGCGGGTCCCCGCAGCCGGAGTCCCAGGGACAAAGAAAAGTGAGTGCTTTTTGAAAGTCTTAAAGGGACAGGGACCCCGCAGCTGGACGGAAGCGTCCCGGGACACTTAGCCCAGCAGCTGAGAATCCCCGGGAACTCTGGGCACCCTAACCACCTGGAGGGCAGCAGGGCAGCTCGGAGGCCCCTCCGACCTGGCTCAGCCATATCATAGCAGCAGCCCGAGGCAGGCCATGCCCACAGCAACCACAGAGCTAAACTCCATAGCAGCCAGGCAAGAATCAAAAGCCCCGTCTGCGTGCAGCTGCCCAGCACAAGCCACTAGAGGTTGCTGTTCTCCCAGGAGAGGAAGGCCACAAACCAACAAGAAGGGACGTTCTCCCTGCCATCACTTGCGCCAGCTCCGCAAACCATCTCTATCGCCATGAAAAGGCAAAAGATTTGATACAGACCAAAATCACAACCCCTGAGGAGATAGACCTAACCAGTCTTCCTGAAAAAGAATGCAAAATAAAAATCATAAACATGCTGACAGAGCTGGAGAGAAATATACAAGAGCTAAGGGATGACTTCTGGAGGGAGATTACAGAAATGAAACAATCTCTGGAAGGATTTATAAGCAGAATGGATAAGATGAAAGAGGCCATTGATGAAATAGAAACCAGAGAACAGGAATGCATAGAAGCTGACGCAGAGAGAGATAAAAGGATCTCCAGGAATGAAACAATATTAAGAGAACTGTGTGACCAATCCAAATGGAACAATATCCACATTATAGGGGTAACAGAAGAAGAAGAGAGAGAAAAAGGGATAGAAAGCGTCTTTGAAGAAATAATTGCTGAGAACTTCTCCAAACTGGGGGAGGAAATAGTTGCTCAGACTACAGAAGCACACAGATATCCCAACACAAGGGACCCAAAGAGGACAAAAACAAGACACATAATAATTAAAATGGCAAAGATCAAAGACAAGGACAGAGTATTAAAGGCAGCCAGAGAGAGACAAAAGGTCACCTACAAAGGAAAACCCATCAGGCTAGCATCAGACTTCTCAATAGAAACCTTACAG